GGTTTACCTAGCTATTTACTCGCTATCTACAGACGTACCGGTAGGTACCTCCGAAGCAAGCTAATATGCACAGAACAAGCTAACCTAACCTCAGCTGCACGAAGACGTCAGAATCAGCCTGCCAGCCTGCCAGCCAGGCAGTCAATCAGTCAAGGAGTTTAGTTTAGTTTAGTTTTTCGTTGTTGTTCATTCGTGGTTAGCTAGCTTGCTGCTTTGGCTTAGCTGCTTTAGCTTAGCTCAGCTAGCTGGCTTGCGCTAGGTCTCTCGGCCGTTGTGTTGAGTGTGGACGTGGGACGTGGGACGTGGGCGTGGACCGTGAGGCGGGCAGGCGGGCAGGCGGGCGAATGTATGTATGTATGTGTGTATGCATGACCTCATTTCTAAGTCGCCTCGTCTCGTTGTCGTCGCGGATGTGCTGTGCGATGATTGTGGGTTGTGCTGTGATGTGCTGTGAGGTGATGTCAGGCCGGTACTCCGTAGTTCGTCTAATTTTTGAGAGTTGCAAATGAAAAGGGAAAGGGAAAGGGAATGGAAGAGGGAGAGGGAGAGGAGGAGATGTCTGTTTGGATCTACGGCAATCAAGGATGCGAAAAATATGGAGTGGGTGAGTGGGTGGGTGAGCGAGGAAGGCTTGAGATATGACGATGATGGTGACGATGATGGTGACGGTGTTGACGATGTGTTGTGAAAGGTGGCTGTGGACCTTGACTGTGACTGGATATGTCTAGATTACTATCAGCTTTTCATATCTAATGGTAGATGGAGTCTGAAGATCATTAGAGCCTGATAGAGAAGGGATAGTGGATCTATAGAAACATAGTTCCTAACTTCTTTATTCACTTATTCACTCACTTACTTACTTACGGCTCTGATGAAGAGTACAGTTAGCGATATATAGGATATACTTTGTAAGATGTATACTTGGCGTAGACGAGGAATTCAACTGGTTAACAAAAAAAAAAAAAAAAAAAAAAAAAAAAAAAACCCTACTCCGACCAAAGAAAGGGAATTTCTTGATATTATATACCACGGTATACCTAACATACCTAAATTCTCTATTTCTGTCTACTCTAATCTGCTCTAGGCTAGGTTGAGTGTCAAAAGGGGGCGGGCTGATCCTCCCCGATCCCGATGTTATACTACTACCTATAGAATCCACTTAGCATGAGGTAGCTGGGTGGCTAGCTAGCAAGAATCCAATGCATCGGATCGGAAGCATACATCCAGCGGATATTCGAGCCGGATTTGAATTGTATTACGGATAGACTCACGGCTGGGATACGTGTCTGTACGAGATAGAATCCAGTCCTCTAGTCCTCTACGAAGTATATCACTGCTATCATCAAACATATTGAGCTGGCGTATTACAGCCATTGGTTTTAGGTAGGTGGTGTAATTACCTTACTTAGCAGCAGCAGCGGGGAATTGAGATAGAGGTGGGGGCGGGGGGGAATGGAGCCCGTATCGTATCGCTTTCGTTCTATCCAGGGTAAGTAAGTAGATAATCAACCAGCCCGCCTCATCTTTACTCCTAGGTATTATATCCCCTTCCTATTTCTTCTTCGTCGTCGTCGATAGCGATCGATCCTAAAACCCCAAACCCACACCCAGACTCAACTAAGCAAAACCAAGCTTTCCCTCTTCTCCACTCGGGCACTTTTGTGACTTACTACGTACTTACTAGTACGTTGGTCTTAGCTCCGGTGGGTAAGAGGCTTGAACCTCATGCTGTGCGTACGTACGTGCGTGCGTGCAAGCGTAAGTAAATACGGGAGTAGATGGCTAAGCGATCGGCAGCAGATTTTGTTCCCGCCTCCGACCTGTCTCTCCTTTCCACGGTCCGTGATTGGCTGGCTGTACGCTTATGGTACGTACAGGCAGGGTCTGGCCAGCGAGTGGATGATGTAATTCTGGGTCTGGCGTACGTCCTTTCCTGTTATGCACCCTCGCTTAGGCAGGAGATGAGATCAGTGTTGTTCTAGAATTGTTGATGTTATATTTTTGTCAGTAACACTGTAGGTATTATTAGTTTTGTGTTTTTGTGCAAGCTACTTCGCATATATTGCAATGCAGGATAATGCTAGCCATCTATCTATGAAAAAGTAATGATCGGCTTGTTGTCGTATCAAGTCGGAAGACAAAGATGAAACGAAACATGTAAACAAAACATAAGCTTCCCAGATGAGATGTCGTCATCCCCTTCCCGTCCGCCGTGGTGTCACGTCGATACGAGATGATATCCATTACATTGTTGACGTACATGAGTAGATAGCATTACGGAGTTCAAGACGTGTACAAACTCGGGCATGATGTATATAAAAAAAGATAGAGTTGCAAGGTGAATCACCATCCACTTCTTATTTTCTTTTTACCCCTTGCCAAGCCAGCCCGGCGGCTGGCTTTCCATGGTCACATCAAGTCAGAGTTCATCCATCTGTATTTTTACTACTATTTGTATTCATATTTGTATTTACTTACACCAGGTTTGAGATAACTACTTAGCGTCAGATGGGACATGCAGGTGACGATGATGATCGACAGGGTCCTTCTGGGTTGACGTTGTTGTTGCTACCCCAACTATCAGACCAACCGTCAACGGACTGAACTATAATCCGGGCCTATCTATTCTAGGCCCATTTCTGAGCTTTCTGAGTGGATGATCGAGAGGTTAGTGGGTAAGGGGATGGGGATCGAAAGGGATGTTTGCATCCGGACGGGGAGTTTTTAAGAGAAGAAGGGGGAGGCAAGGGGCACGGGGTAGGTGGGGAGAGGCACGTGCAGTTCGTGGCGTATCCGTAGGGGTCCTGATTATTGTGGATACCCGTGGATACCGTGGAGAGATATATAGGAATGAACCGCTCGGAAAAAGATGATACATCAACATCCAAACCAATCCATATCCCATTGCATTCTCACTTACATACATTCTTATGTACAGAAATATATATCCATCCATCCTCCATCAAACAATACACACCTAACCTCCAACTCTACCAGTGCCTCCTACTCCTCCTTCACAATCCAACACAACACCACAACACTACAACACAGCACGATATAATACAATAACATAACCCAACACGATCCTCTATACCACCACCACCACCATGTCCTCACCACCCTACAAGAGCTACTCTCACCTCACCTCCTCGTCTTCTCCCTCCTGCGCCCAATCCCAACAACATTACGACAACGACAACAGCAACACTACCCACGACCAGCCCTCCTCCCCCACGACCACACTCTCCTCCTATACGCGCGAGATGCACCTCCACACTAAGCGGCAGATGGAAGCTGCCTCCCGCTCGGCGCGGCGGCGGAGTGGCAACGCGCATGGCGTTGGGAGCGCGGATAGTTAGTTGAGAGGGAGAGCGTTATTGTTTTTGTCATTTTCGTCAGTGTCGGTGTGCTGTGGCTGGTGGGGGCGGGGAGGCATACGGATGGAGAGAAGGGAAATGCATGGGGATGATATAGGAGTAGGGTGGACCGGAGTGGATTGGGCTGTATATACGGGTGAATGAATGGGTGGGAGTTTTGGCTATTCACATACACACATACATATTTATTTTCTTCACTCTTTTCCATTGAATTAATCTATCTATACTCTACTCGTCCTAAGGTAAGTAGGCAATTTCTTTCATTTATACCCAGGCAACCGACGAGTACTTGGAGAAGTCACAAGAGTTCAAACAGGAAGAATGCTACTTATCAGTATGAGTATATACCCGTCCTACCTCCGCCTCCTTCCGCATTAAAATCACATTTCAATCAAAAACAATAAAAACCTACGATCTGGATGGTAATGGGGAAGGGGTGCGTTGGCCTAAATGTGTGAGGAGATCCTGGAGGACCCTGATGTTCGTTGGGTGGAGCCTTTAAAGTGTATTAGATGGAGATCTTCAAACCTAGAATCATGTGAGCGAGCGAGCCAGCGTATTTAAGGAGTTGATAGTTAGATTGAGAAAATAATTAGATAAACAGATAGAAATAGATAAATGGATAGACAAAAAGAAGCAGGTAGCTAACGATCGAACGAACGAATGAAGATGTCGCAGGTAGTAAAGTAATAGTGTACGATTTGATGAAGCCGAATTCCGATGGTTTATTGTGGTATGAACGATGGGAAAGGAGAAGAGAAGGAAAGAATAGGTAAATACTAAATACGTATGAGAAATCAAATTAGGTGATGCATAACTTCTTTTTGACTTCGACCTTTCCTATTCCAATACCTACCGGTACCACATAGCGACAGGCATGGCTGCTTAGCGCCATACTCACGTGATCGGACCTCGCTCGTCGAGTCCAGTCCAGGGGCCGAAAAGAAAACCCCTTCGAGCATCAACTTCTTCTCCGAGTCACCATCCACCACCAGCGACGGAGGCTCTCATCTCTTATTTTCTACAATCGACTGACCTCGGAGCTGGATTGAATCTGCTCGCTCACCCAGTTGTCTGTTTGTTTGTTTGTTTTATTTACTGGTCATACTCAGGGGGAGGGTTGATCCGTTGGCGACGTCGGACAAAGACGTGGTGAATGAACGTCATTGATCAACCGGAGAATCCCATTTCCGGGGTCCCCGGACCAAGCGATTTCTCTCTCTCTCTCTTCCGGATCAGCTCCCCCATTCGCTCGCTGGCTCTACAATATCCCTCTTGTCACACGGATGACGAGCTTAGCAATACAATATTCTCCGATCCGACGATATCGTCAAGATGGTTCCTCCAACAGAGACACTGAATCTGTCCATCACGGCTATTAGTGGCATTCTCGGGTACGTTCTTTCTACAACTGGAAATCGTGCGTATATATCTATATAACATACATATATACATATATATAACATACGCAACGTGACTCACCTGAAATATATGCAGTTCAATATCCATAGCCTGCTGGATCGTAGTCTTCTCGCCGCAAATCGTCGAGAACTTCCGTCGGGGCTCAGCAGATGGCCTCTCTCTGCAATTCATCATCGTCTGGCTCGCCGGCGATGTGTTCAACATACTAGGCGCCGTCCTACAGGGCGTGCTGCCGACGATGCTGGTATTAGCCATCTACTACACTATTGCCGACATTGTGCTTTTGCTACAGTGTTTTTACTACCGCGGGTTCACGTGGAAAGATGAAGTCGTTCCACCCAAGCTGCAAGACGGCACCGCCGCTAGGAATGGCCATCTAGGAGAACCCAACGAGCAAACCGGCCTTTTAGCCTCCTCCTCAGACAGAGATCTGGACCTGGAACGCCGCGCCAGCTCCATCTCCGCCTCTCACCTCTCCCCTGCCGTCCCTCTACTCGACGAGCACAACCCTCCGCCAGTCAAGAAAGTCACTACGTCGCTGCAAGCGACGCTCTTCAATACCATCGCTGTCCTCATGGTCGTCGCGGCCGGCGTCCTGGGATGGTACATCTCCAACCGCTCGCACATCTCGGACGCACCACCCCCCCACACGCCTAAACACCCGCACCCCGAACCACTGATCCTCAACCTCTGGGGCCAGATCTTCGGCTACTTCTGCGCCGTGCTCTACCTCGGCTCTCGGGTCCCGCAGCTGCTGCTCAACTACCGGAGGAGATCCACCGATGGCGTCTCGATGCTCTTCTTCCTCTTCGCCTGTATCGGGAACCTCACCTACGTGCTGTCCATCTTCGCCTACGAGCCGCGCTGCACGGGCGTGTTCGGGAAGTGCGCCGGGGGAGAGGCGGGCCGGATCTACGGGCGCTACATCCTGATCAACGCGTCCTGGCTTGCCGGCAGTCTGGGGACGCTCTTCCTCGATGCCGCCATCTTTGCGCAGTTCTTCGTCTATCGGGAGGGCCAGCAGGCTGCTGCGCCGGCGGTGCTTGAGGTGGAGAATGGGGAGCCGAGGACGTCGTCGTCGAGGGACTCCAGGCCGTTGCTTGAGAGAGATGATTGAATCTTTTTCCTTCTCTGCGGATGGGGGGATTCTGGGGTGGAGAGATTTTTTTTACCCGCATTTATAAAGAGAAAAGATAAAATATGAAAAACGGAAAAAAAAAACGGAAAAAAAAAAAGGGAAAAAAGGAAAAGGGGAAAATGGAAAAATAGGAAAAATGAAAAAATGGAAAAAATGGAAAAAGGAAAAGAAGCATTGGGTCAGCCCAGGCGAGATTTGGAAACAGGGTGCATAACATAACATAAGAAGGGCGCTGCCACAAGGCATTTTTTAATCGCGATTCATGGATTGAAGAACCTGCTCTGTACGTATGTATATCTACTACCATGCTACATGTACCTCTGTACTCTACTCATGCATGAATAATACTTGAAGAAATAGCAAATCAATTCGTTATTGTACATATATACACATACACACATACACACAGTACCGCTCCTCACTAAAGACTCCACCCTCTCTACCTATCTACCCAGCCTGTCTGTCTGTCTGTCTGTCTGTCTGCCAGCCTGCTATCTACTTTCCTCCAACAAACAGTATCTATTTTCCTCTATCAAAACGATGTCAGAAGATACCGGTCGATAGGAAGGCAATCCGTAGTAGTCAGTGCGCTCGCGCTCTCGCTCGCTGCCTGTGCCTGCCTGCCTGTGCCTGCCTGTGTGCATGAGTGTGTGTGCTCCGTAAGTGAAACCTGCGGGCTCTCTCTCTCTGTCTCTCTCTCTCTGTCGCGGTTGCCTACTTAACTCTGTAAACCGGTATACTAAGCTTCTCGCTTCGCAACAGCATATGCTTGCTGTCCGTTCGATCGGAGGTCGCACGGCGGGGTTTGAATGGTAGCGAACGCAACGCAGGTGAAAGCTGCCTGTCTGCCTTGCCTGCTTGCCTGCCGCCTGCCGGGAGTTGAGGCTGACATAGACACACACATACATACACAGACACATACTGAACTAACTAACTAACAAACTAGAATTGAATGAATGAAAAAAAAAAAAAAAAAAAAAAAAAAAAAACCCCTAAACTCGGGCGTCCGTACATCTTCTTCTTCGCTTGTATCAATCGTACCGTAGACTTACAACATCAGGCTGATCTGATCGGTGCCCGTGGTAGTCACAGTGCAGGGGGGTATCAATTATTCTATTCGCTTATATCGAACCTAACATCTACGGTACGTCGCACTTCCGTACGTTGTTGACTTGACTGCCAAGGGGCTAGGCTATCCTATCACTCATGCTCACGAGCCTCCAACCTCCCCCGAACATCCCTAACCAACGCCTTGGCCTCCTCGACCTCAACCCCGTCCTGGCAGAGCTCGTTCGCAAGCTGCATCGCCCGGTCCAAATCCCCTATGGTCACCGCGTATTTGGCAAGCCACATCCGCGCCTTGGACGTCGCAGCCGTAACGCCAGTGCCGTGCTCTCCGCCACCGCCGCTGCCTGCACCAGGCCTCGAGTCATCATCCGATGACTGCGAATCCGCGTGTATGTTGATGCCGGACTCCATGTCCGCCACCGCACCCTCCTCCTGCGCAACACACATCTCCATGTACCCCCTGGCCTCCTCCACATTCTCCAACTTCTCATACATAGCCGCAATTTCCAGCAGGATTTCCGGGTCCATAGTCGCCCCCTTTTCCCTCACTCCACTTCCAAAAGACGAGCCCACACCGGCATCATAATAACTATCCGCCAGTAGCGCCCTCTTGTACGCTTTGATGCCTTCAAGGTGGCGTTCCATCTTTTTGAGGCAGGATCCGACAGCCATCCACATCTTACCGTCCCAGGGCCGCAGACCAGCAGCGCGTTTGTAGTACCATAGGGCGTACGCGTGCATCTCGAGGACTTCGTAGGTTTGGCCAAGACCGTACCAGGCTCGGTAGTCGCGCCTGTTGACGTCGACTGCTCGACGGTAAGACTCGATGGCAGCGTGTGTATTTTTTAGTTCGACATACTCATGACCCATGAGTGTCCATGCGCTCAAGCAGGACCGATCTAGTGTGAGGGCCCTGCGGAAGTATTGGACGGCCTTCTCGTGAGAGGAGAGAAGTGAGTAGTAGTTTCCTATGACAACACAAGATTCGGGCCGGAATTTGTCGACCGTTGAGCAGAGATGTGCTAAGAAAGACAGTTTGGGTCGCAAGTTCATCACGTATAGAATATTCGAGTAGTGATCCAGTGAGTCGAGTCGATGAGGATGAAGTGCGAGTAAATTACTGAAGTGGGCATCGGCCCCGACAAAATCTTTGGTATGATAGGCGAGCAGTGCTAAGCAGGTAAGGAGGAACGGGCTTGTTGGGAATATCGAGAGTAGTTGGTCGAGGGAGTTTGACAGCGTCGGGGTTGACTGGTAGAGTTCAAGAGAGGTGTGTAGGTGGAAAATGAAGGATGTGATATTCTGTGGAAGGTGCGGAGATATCCGATTCAACTACAGGTTGTCAGTTTTGTGTGATGGGGTATGAGATGTGTGCTCACGTCTTCGACTCGTCCAACAAGGGAGGTCATTTCCAACCAACAGCCCCAATTCATCGGATATAGATGTACACTCTGTACCAGCCACTGCATAGCTTCATTCTCATTCTTGTCCTTTGCGAGCACCATGCCGAGCCTGGAACATTAGTCGTGATGGTCTTCCGTGAAAGGGGTTCGCTTACAGGTACTCGAGCCAGCCCTGGCTTCCTAACACTCTTCCTTGCTGATCGATTCCTCGCTCTTGGAACCATTGTTGCAGGTATCGACTTATTACCACCAGTTGTTTGTTCACTGCATTTCCGCCATCATGTGGACCCATAACCATCTCACTATCCTCGTCCTTCCTCTTTTCCCCCGACATGTATTTGGCATACAGAGCGAGGAAGAGACTCTTCTGACTGAGCTTTGGCATCGGCATCACCGCACTGGGTCGATTTGAGGGAGCTTTCCCCTTGCCTTTGCCTGCCGGTGTGGGTCCACTGGGGTTCTTCGCCGAAGCCGTTGATAGAATTCCAGCGAGGATAGTATCGGGCAGGAACACGGCCGCACATCGATCAAATTCCCGACAGTCGAAGAACGATTTCGCCAGCAGATATTGGTTTATCTCTCGCGCCTCGAGCAGGGCTTCCTCCGGGTCCAGATTCCCTGTTACGACAATCGGTGGCAGACCTTCTGAGGGTACCTCGGTCATCTGCGAGTCTTCGGGCTCGGAGGAGGTATCTGGTGTCGGTATTGAGGTCAATAGCTCCGCGGCCCTGGTTGGGTGTCAGCATTACAGCTGTGTATCTACGACTGGGGATAATGCGCACCATTTTGCAGACTGGTATAAACATCGTTCTGAGCACTTGACGACAGCCTCCTGCAGAGCGGCGCGCAGCTGGGACGTATCGCGCTCATTAAGCGCCATGATGGATGATCTCAACGGTAGGGTTTGGTCCTTCGAATTATGCTGCTTGTCACAGTAATTGTCGTCCTCCGTATTGTTCCCAGGATCCTCGATGTTGACTCGTGGGGCGAGATGGGGATGGGATAGTCCTCGGACAAGGCTGAGGCTGAGGCTGAGGCTAGGGCTGCGGGCCGATGCAGCTGCGGGATGTCGCGACGCGTTGTTGTCGTTGTTGGTGTTTGTTGACTTGGACGGGTGTCGGGCAACTGGGAACTATAAAGCGAGCCAGCCGGCTATTCTCATGTACAAGTAGGTAGGTACCTGTAAGTATTTGTGTTGTAATACTTGATCAAATCGTGAGAGGTACAACAGGTATCTCGACCTACTCCGTAAAGAGAGAGGTGAGAATGTAGTCAGATGCAATGTAAATCCTTTGCAAGGTGCAAGCTCCTGCCAAGCGTTTTCTTTACGACCCCACCAATGGCAATGACCCCTCCCCGCCCACTCTTTCGAGGAGGCACAAGAACAACAGCCTCGATCAACTCTCACTTCGTATACAAAGGTAACACTCCAGACAATCTCTGTACTTCCCCAATTCCACCTCATCTCACCACCACCACCACCACCACCATCACCACCACCACCACGCAAAAGCATCCCCATCTCCCTCTTGATCCCCATCCCCATCCCCAAACTCCCCAACCATGGCGCAAACCACTACCCTCAAACAATTCGAGTCCGTCTTTCCCACGCTGGTGGAGGATCTCCTCGACCATGCTAAGCAATACAAGCTCCCCGAAGCTTTTGTCGAGTGGTACAAAGCTGTAAATGAATTCTGCTCACCCACCCCATGAATATGCTTCAGCTAACTAAAACAACGCTTAAAGTCCCTCAATGCCAACACCATCGGCGGAAAATGCAACCGCGGAATGTCTGTCCCCGACTCCGTCTCTCTCCTCCTCGAAGCGCCTCTCAGCGAGAACCAATACTTCCAAGCCGCAACCCTGGGATGGATGACCGAGCTGCTGCAGGCCTTCTTCCTGGTCTCGGACGACATCATGGACAGCAGCATCACTCGTCGCGGCGCCCCTTGCTGGTACCGTCAACCGCACGTCGGTATGATCGCCATCAACGATGCCTTCTTGCTTGAAAGCGCCATCTATACCCTTCTGAAGAAATACTTCAAGACCCACCCGTGCTACGTCGACCTGATCGAGCTCTTCCACGAGGTCACCTTCCAGACCGAAATCGGCCAGCTGTGCGACCTGCTTACCGCGCCCGAAGATAAGGTTGACCTGGACAACTTCTCGCTTGCGAAATACCAATTTATCGTCATCTACAAGACCGCATACTACTCCTTCTACCTCCCCGTCGCCCTTGCATTGTATCATCAGAACATTGCGACCCCCAAAAATCTGAAACAGGCAGAGGACATTCTGATTCCACTTGGCGAGTACTTCCAAATCCAAGATGACTACCTGGACAATTTTGGCCTTCCCGAACACATTGGCAAGATCGGTACCGACATCATGGACAACAAGTGCTCGTGGCTCGTCAACAAGGCGTTGGAGATCGTCACGCCCGAGCAGAGAAAGGTGCTGGAAGACAACTACGGCCGCAAGAACAAGGACAATGAGGCGGCGGTCAAGAAACTGTTCGACGAGCTGAAACTGGAGCAGATCTACAGAGACTACGAGGAGAAGCGCGTAGGCGAGATCCGCAAGATGATTGAAGAGGTTGACGAGTCGGAGGGCTTGAAAAAGACAGTGTTCGAGAGCTTCCTGGGCAAGATCTACAAGCGCAGCAAGTAATCTGATGGCCTACCTTCGTGACTGCGTATTTTTGCTTTCATATGCACTGCATCTTGGGCTCCACAGTGCCGTAGATGATTAGATGAGCATGCGCATGTTTCCTGCTTCGATTTTGCTGCTAGTCTGGAGAGCCCGATACCTATTTAAATTTCTTTGCGCTTGTGCTCGCAGCGATATATTTCAAGGTTTGGTTTCAAACGTAGATTGGCTCCTATATACTCCTAGAGTTGATGTCTCTGGGTCCCTCGTACCTGGTATGTTGCACGTCGCAAGCCCTTGGCCTATTCCATCTACATAGTAACCGTCTCTGCCAGCTACAAAAACAAGGGCCTGGGTATACTAGCCCGCAGACTCTGATACCCGTTGGCTTTTAGTGTTTTGCGCTTCAAAATAATCTCATGAAAAGTCTCGCTTGACTAATTATCGCTTTAATAACTCTCGCTACCCCTTTTTGTCTCTCTCGCTTAGCAATTTTAGGTCGATCATATATCCTAGGCATATCATTGCGAGCCCCGGGCACTCGATGTTAAGGAGCAACCTTCAGCTGCCACAGACGAATGAAAAGGCTCGATTCCGTAGCCAGCGATCTAAATCTATATTAAAATACGCATTTCCGTCCCGGCATCTCACGCTTCACACCTCATGATGCAGCACCTCTAACCCCTCCTTCTCCAGCTCCCCATCGATCCTCACGCCCCTCAGCTGAGCCTCCACAGCCCTAACCCTCTCCTTCTCCTCGTGCGCATCCCGATCCCCAAACACCAGATCCATATCCTCGAGCCTCCTCCCCTGCGTCTCGGGAACGCAGAAATACGTAAACGCCAACGCCAGCAGGCAGAAGGCCGCGAAGAAGAAGTACGTCCCGTACGTGATGGTCGCCAGCATGTCCGGCGTCGCGAGCCCGATGACGAAGTTGCACATCCAGGTCGTTGAGGTCGTCACGGAGATGGCTTTGGAGCGGATGGACAGCGGGAAGATCTCGGACGGGAGGACCCAGCCGATGGGCGCGAAGGAGTAGGAGAAGTTGACGTCGTAGACGTAGATGAATGCGATGCCGGCCCAGCCGGCGGCTTTGTTGGCCGCGAGGCCTTCGGGGCCGAAGGCGGCGATGATGGCGCCGACGACGACGAGCGAGAGGAAGGTTCCCGCGGCGCCGGACATGAGGAGGGGTCTGCGGCCGACGCGGTCGATGAATAGCAGGGCGGGGAGCGTGGCGAGCATGTTGATGATGCCGTAGACTCCGGTTGCGAGCAGCGACGTGGTGTTGCCGTCCAGGCCGAGCGAAGCGAAGATCGTGGGTGCGTAGTAGATCATGGCATTGCAGCCCATGAACTGCTGGAAGAACATGACGCAGCATCCGACGGCCAGACGCTTGAATCGTCCAGAGTGGGTGAGCATGGAGCTGTACTGGGCGACCTGAAGTCTGCATCCGCTGAGACCGGCAAAGTGGTCTCGGATATAGGTGTTCTCGACGAGGATTCCGGCTTTGATCTCCAGAGCTTCTGCGATGACAGATGGGTGGCCGGATGGCTTGCGGCGGAGCCGAGCGAGCGTCGAAATGGCTTCTTCATCCCGCTCCTTCATCAGTAACCATCTGGGAGAGTCCGGGTAGAACAGCATTCCAATGCCGAGGACGAGCGCTGGAAAGATCTGGAGCGCGAGGGGGATTCTCCACGACGCGTCGGATTGCCCAGTGCATCCGTCTAGAGCAACATCGCTGTAAGGATCGAACGTACGTACCGATGCCGTTCCCCCGGTGTAATCGATATCTGGGGCGCACCGTGTGCCCCCAATGTAGTGGGTACCGTAGTCGATCCAGAAACTGAAGAGGATGCCGATGGTGATGGACAGTTGCTGGAGAACGACCAGCCCGCCCCTGATCTCGGGGAGCGAGACCTCAGATATGTAGAGTGGGATGACCATGGTCATCATGCCGACTGCCAGTCCGGCGATGGCGCGTCCGAGGAAGAGCATGGGGATGTTCACGGCGCCAGCCTGGATGGTCGACCCGATAGTGAACACGACGACCCCGATCATGATGTCGATCTTGCGCCCAAGACTGTCGGCGACGAATCCATTGAGGAGGGATCCCGCCCAAGCAGCTATATATACGTTGCCGTCATTAGAAAACCTCGCGGGGCTCACTTGAATCTTGACAGTTCACTAAGACTTACCGAGCAGGAGGGTTGACACGAACCACCCTTTGAACCCGCTGTCAGAGTACACGCGGGGAAAAGCGGCGCCGAAGGCCTCCATGGTCAAGACTCCCGACACGACCCCTTGGTCGTATCCAAAGAGGAAGCCACCGAGAGTAGAGAACTGCCAGCCGATCAGCAAAACGAATGCATCACTCGAAGCGAACACGAAAGTGGTGTCTTGTTTACAAGCGCGACTCCGAAGAGATATGGGTTCTTAAACAGAATCCCGACCCCCTTCTTCTTCTCCTTCTCCTTCTTGGACTCGGATGCCGCATGTTGGTCCATGTTGATGCTGGACTCCTCCGAGGTGCCGATCGCAAGAAGGAAAGGATAAAGGTCCTAATGACAGCAAAAAAAAAAAAACACTGAGACGACGCGGGAGTGAGATTATGACCAGTCCATTTATCTGGGGAGGCTCCTCTAGCCTATATATATATATATACGGCTCTCCACTATTGGCAACATCCACTTCAAAACCACTCGCTTCCCCTCTCCCTCCCCGCCATCTCTCCTGCTTCTAGCAATCGCGGGGAGTATCTTCCCCACGTAAAGTACGGAGTAAGTGTGGACCGATAGCAGGGCCTTCCGGGCGGGCAGGTGCAGATCTTCTGACAGGTGGTTCGCTTATTGAGTCATGCATATCTGTCTGTCAACCCGGCTTTGTGTTTACTCAGGAGTCAGTTTTTTTTCTTGGCATTGGATGGACTGGATGACTCCGTGGCTCGGAGAATGAAGGAGACCGGGCGACTGCAGGGCTCCTTCTACCCCCCCTCTTCTCTTGCGCAAGAGGTGGCTGTTCCGTTGAATTACTTCCACGTGAGTTCCTCAGAGAAAAAAAAAGGGCTGGGATCGAGTCGTGTATTCGGCCAGGTGAAAGGCCGGTGATATTCCTGAGAGTGGGACATATATATGTTTACCGTCGTAAGATATGTTTTCGGCTGACCACAGACGTGACGAGTTGAAGCTTGATAAGGCTTGATTTGGGCCTACTTCTTTTCTTATTAGCAAGCGGTTCAGAAGCGAGAGAGCAAAGCTAGAAAGTCTCCAGGGGTGCTAAGTATTACAGTAGCGCTGCGAATCATCGGAATCGGACACCAACGACATGCTCCCCTTTGAAACCCCATATTTCGCATTTGGTTTTGTTTATCAACAAGCACTTTAGCGAAAGCTTATTCCTGAGCAGGCCTCTTGAGCAGACCGCTAACTTTGACGTACGCAATTCCACCGTCAGCTGCCTATGCATGGATTACTCCCGCTTCTGAACGCGCCGCAACGTCGACGACCCATCCATCATCAGACTTGCTCATGACAAGCTCTAAAGTGCGATGAGTGCAGCGTCGGGAAATTCGAGGTGATCTCCCCTTCTGTACCCGTATATTCTCCAAGATGGGCACAACTCATATATCCTCAGTGCACTCAAGAGCACCCATCGTGCGGTGTCTGCTCGCGCCAGCAGGGCAAGATCTGTATTTACAGCCCTAGAGTTGAACGGACAACTTTGGCACGAAAATAAGGAACGCATTAACGACTGGTCTGGCGGGCAATGGCTGTATATCCCCCCCCTCCTTTCCATTCACCATGACACCATCTAAAAGGTTCCCAGCTTCCTAATTGAAAGTATCATCAACGCTGTATTTGGTGTCATATCATGGTTCGCGATGCCAGCTAGCCCCTGCCAAACTTCTGGCCGAGGTCGCGGGAAAGGGTGATTCAGCGAGCACGAAGAGAAGATCTTGGTGAACCGCTTGCTCAGAGATGATCCGTCCAAAGGCGATATGAACAACCGACAGTCTATTGGTTTCATAGGGCTGGTTAAAAGTCTCTGGGATTTCAACCTTTGGCCGACATACCTAGTGAGTTTTGGAACTTGCCATCAAAGCTGTGAGGTATTGGGCTACTTACTAGCTGCAGATTGGATTCTGCGCGTACATCCCACCAAATTCTCCAGCAGCGTAAACGCCGGTATTACACAGAAGGGAAGTAAGTACTTGCTTGTTCGTGACCTCCTTATAAATCTACCTACCTAAGGCCCCGTCTGGTAACGCTTCCTAGTCGTGTTTCCGAGCCATTTTCGACTCCCAAGAAAATCATAAGGCTGAACTTCGTATCAACCTTTTTACAATTATAATACAGATCGCTATCAAAAACCTATAATAGGTAAGCTGACCGAGTTACTTTTATAATACATACTGACTTATCAATTACTAAGAATACTTACTACGTAGTACAACGTCACAGGCGTAAGTGGTACCGATACCCTGAGGGTAGGGTAACCAGGGGGTCCGAAGTGGAGATAAGAGACTTTTAAGGCGCCCTTAGGCTGTGACAATTTTTCCTGGCACGTACGGAGTATTTCACCCTTTCTTTTACCCATTTAATCAAAGGCACCTGCGGGAATCAATCACGCCCCCCAAGAACACGATCAGACATTTGAGCCCCTTTGCATGCATCTGCGGAGGTACAGCGGTCAAGTGTTCTAAACCTTGCTGCTCTCCAGCTAACATTCTTAACCCAATTAGGCAGTAACGCGACCGTTAGGAACGGAATCTTGAAGAATCCCATTTTGAGCCGTAGGGCGGCAAAGGTTATAGCACTTGACCGCTGTACCTCCGTCGGGAAAGCTGCCGAGAGGCGCTCAGTCTTCCTGGCATGCCGCTAACTTTACCATTGTCAGTGCCTGCCGCAGAGAAGGTAGCGACGGCCCCGGAACCAGAAAAGTGGCACTGTGGAATGATAACTATTAGCATGTAGTAGTATATTTCGAGATATACTCGGGGGATTTGAAAAAGCTTTATTAGTCTGGTAATCACTTACGTAGGCCGCACTGTAGCTTGCCGGTGTGCTTTGGAGTGCGCCGCATAAGGCTTCGGTTTCGGAGCTATCTCCACAAGTACAGGATTGCCTTTGTGCGCTCACTGCAGAGGTGCTAAAGCAATATGCCAAGTTAGCAAGCTAGCTATATAAGGCTGATAAAGATTGGTTGGATAAGCTACTGGCAAAAGCACGGTGAGCAAAGATTTGATAGAGACCATTTTGGCGATGTGAAGGATTTAATAAGTAGTATTTTGGTTTTGGAAGTTGATGATTTGAAGATTGAAAGAACTGATGAACTGATGAACTGATGCTGAATTAACAGTAAACTGCGGGATGAGAAAGGATCTAGATTCATGTTATACTATAGCTGATAAGGCTGAAGCTTGTACACCTACTAATCCCTTATGGCTTGGCTGATGCAAATCAGCTTCAAATCAACAAATCAGAGCCATCTTAAGAAGACTTAGGGCGCGACTGGTTCCGTATAAACTTGCCGAAATGGCGCGCGGGGCTGGCAATAATGTCCAATCTTTGTTTCTTGACTGATCAGTGCGTTGATTGCGCTGATCTCGAAACTATGCTGGAGCCACAATTAATACTTAAATCTTTACCAAGTAGAAGTCAAGCCTTGCCAATACGGGTAGGGCGTCGATCTTGCGGAGTCAACAGCCCCGCGCGCCATTCTGTGGAGGTTCTAGGGTAACTCTCTCAAGTCCGGTTTCGAGGGTGTTTTCGGTTTCTAGTTGACCGAATTAGCGTCTGATAAAAGGGGTTTAGAATCTACGGAGTAAATCCTTAAAATGAAGTCTCGAAACCTCGAGACTCTTCTCGAAATAGAAGCTGCAAAAAAGCAGTATCTACTTCTAGTAACCCACAAATTCAGTATCAAGTCTCTATTAAAACTCGACTCCTAGTAGCGTTAGACCTTGATTTAAAATCACGACTTGTAAAAAGCGAAAATCACGGTTTATCTTCTTTTACCGGTACTTACCAAATATGGGGAAGCGAATCCAACGATTAGATGGATTATGCTAAGAATACCCATTCCGTATTAAACCAAGTAAAACGAATGATCTTCAACATTGCGAATTCGAAACTCGACTTGAAAGAGTTACTAGACGACATCGAAAATACATCGTAATATCGATTTCATGAAGAAACCAATTTCAAAGTTTCAGTTTCGCGTAACCATTTCGAGGATTTCACGCTCCCCGATTTGCCAGACGCCCCTAAATCGTCAGACTCGCCATCCCCCATATGCCCCTCCCACCAAACAACCCCTACTGAGTAGTTGACATAAGCTATGATTAGTCGTTGGGAATGAATAGTCGCTTACGTAAACACAACGTCCGATAGCAAACCAAGTACCGTTAGTACTGCAATGATGCTACAAAGCGCCCAGAACAAAAGTAAAATCTTGCGTTCGGAAGAAAAGAGAAATCGACTATCTATCTCTTCTACTTTTCTCTGTAACTGTCGGTTTCCCCGCCCTTCGCTAAAGGGGTGGGTGTGTGGCGCGACGCGGTGAACAAGTTTAAAAAAAACCGAAAAGCGTATCTATCTTAGAAAGTATCCTCTTTTGCCCTCTTGCTTACTTAATACCAACCCAATACTCAAGACCTACCTAAACCTGTTATACCCAGGCCCATCCTGTAATATATTTATGTCTATATCTATATCTATATCTACATCAACCGACCAATCGATCAGCGGAAAAACATCAGCGCTTAAAAAAGAACAACAAGATGGAAGATCTAAAGTCATTTCTTTCCCTCTTAGTCTTGCTGAGAGCTATCACCTAGCCGCGTTTGCATGTCGGATTCCCTTGTTCTTCGGAATAAAAAAGATGCTGGTAAGCAAGTAGGCAGGCGATATAAATGATGCCGGGAAGGAAAGGAGGAAGAGAAGAAAAGAAAAGAAAAGAAAAGAGAGAAGAGAGAAATGAATGGGAGACACGGAAGATACAAGGCGGAAAGAAAGGTAGGAAAGAAAAAGTCAGGTCAGTAACTGCAGGAATTTCCTTTCCAACGCTACGTATCTGCAGTTTTTGCTTCAACAGGCTTATTTACACCACGGGTGGTATGCACACTACTGTTTCCTTGATTGCTCAGTCAAGCATAGGGACCTCCCCCCTTCTATCGCGAGGTTCAAGTTCTGGGACTGGTAGGACAGCTAACTGGCTCAGGTTTTCGTCTCCCCGCTCGTTCGAGGCTTCTCCAACTCAGCCACTTCCTCAGAATCGGGTGGCACCTCGGTAGTACTCTTTCCATTCGTCATTGTCTCTTGTTCCTCTGCTGTTGCCGGAGGAGGCGGCGTGGGGGGTTTAGCTTTCGGTACATTTTTGCTCTTGACGAGGTTGACGAGGCGGTCTCCTACATCGCTTGCACCGTCCAGACCTCCAATTTTGGATTTGAACGATTCCGCGTCACGGAGCATCCTGGATCAGCATTAATCATTATCCACCAATGTCTTAAGAGTGTATGGGAAAATACCTAGCTTGCGCACCCTCACTTCCCAGCACTACATCCCCAAAGGCCTTCCCCCATTGCTCCATATAACCTTTAAACACAGGTTCCATAATCATCTTGACCGCCATGTCCGGCAAATGCTTGCTCATCACCCGATGCAGCGTAATCGTTTCTTTCGTCAGCGTCTCCATATATTTGTTCACGGCCCCGTCATCAGCCGACTCCCAGTTTATCAGCTTCATTGCTTTAGCGTGAGATGCTGAACGACCAGCCATAATATCAACGAGTTTGTCGTAGATGGACTGCTGGTGTTCGAGGTAGGCACGGCGGACCTTATCAAACTCGGCCATGAGGGAGGAGACGGCGGAGCCGGAGCCGGCATGGCGGCGAACAAATTCGCGAACATGAGGAATGAGGCTGCTGATGAAGGATAGGGCTTGAGCGGCGAGAGCGAGGTGTTTGGTGGTAATGTTTTTGAGGCCGGCGGAGCGGGTTGCGCCGGCGCCGAGAATGAGTTGGGTGCAGCGGGAGTTAAAGAGTGTGAGGTAGGAGAGAATAGAGCTTGCTATTTCGGTCGTCATTGAGGGAATGCCGGTGTTCAGGTGGAGGAAGGATGAGAGTCCGTGGAGACAAAGGATAGCGGAGATTGGGAGAATAAACGTTTCACTTTCAATAACGGCGGATCGGTTGGTGACTTTGGAAGAAGCCCCGGGGGGTGTTGAAGTTCCAGAATCACCGTTAACCTGTCCTACAAGCATGCTTGCAAGAGTGCTCGGCGGTGATTGACTAGCAGGAGGAAGCCAAATTTTGCTTCCTGAGATCCAGGCTTCAGCATCTTCGGTGCTAGCAGACAGTATCCGAGTCAACTCCTCCTTGTCGGCATCGGTGAAGTCGCTGGCATTCCAAGGGTCCGCTTCCATTCCTGTAGCCAATGCTTGACGTTCAGATTCACTCATGTTTTGCACGAAATCTTTGATGTGCCCATTGACAACATTCTTTAGGGCCGTTCCACCGCGCCCAGATACCGCTTCGCACTCATTGGCGAAGAGCAGATTTAGTGTAAAGTAACGAAGAAAGTTATCCACAGATAAATGCGTGCTCTGCGCGGACCTTACCCTCAGAACTTTGACGATCTTCTCTTGAGCGATATCGACTGCCTGGCCAAGAAGATTGGACATGTCGAGTGTCAGGTGCATTTCTTCCTGGATATCCACGACAGAGCTTGCTCTTAGACGACCCGAGTTCAACCGGCCATCGATTGCAACCATATTTGGACTTCTCGGAGGTGATTTGGGAGACCTAGGAGACATCAACTCAGAGGGCGGTTCTCCGAGAGTGCTGGTCACGTCTAACAAGACCTTGACTTGCGCCCCTAATCTCCTCAGAGTCTCGCCAACGCCGATATATGTCTTCTTCAGAAGTTCTTCAGCATCTTCGGGATCCAATGCCCGAAGATTCCTCGCTAGCATAATTGACTTGTCTTGCGCATTCTTCTGCCTTCCTCCCCCAACGGTGGACGCAGACATGATTGATACCGCATCATCATCATTTGACGCAGGCATCGGTCGCCTAATGATGTTTCTGACCTCTCGTAAAACCGACTCGCGGAAAGCAGTGGCGGCGGGAGTTATATGGCGAGCCCGATGCAAGCCACTCAGATTTGACAATAGCTCCGTTCTGAACTGCTCGCCCATCGCCAAGTACGCTGGATATGCAGATGGCTCTCGGATAAGGTTACCTCTAACGCGCTGTGAGGAGCTGCTCCAGCGTTGTAAAGTGTCAGCAGTCGAAACAGACTCAACATGATGCCTGAGGTCACCCATCAAAGCATTCAAAAATCTGGTCTCGTAAGCCCTCCCAATTCGTAATCTTAAAGAATCGAGGTCAGTATTGACCCCTTTCAAAGCTGTCGCGCCTCTGAGATCCCGAAGCTGGATATCGGTTTTTTTGCTCTCGCCTGCGATTAGCCTTTCTAAGCCATCTAGTTCGTCTAGCGCATTTTCCATCTCACCCTCGTCTACAAGAGATTCGCAGGTCGCAACGGCTTCCACAACTCGCTTCAGCTGCTGAACCGCATCACTTAGCTTTTTGAGATTTTCCCTCCTTCGCCTCTTCTTCACGATCCTGAGACCCCCTACGGCCATTTCCTGATCCAAATTTGCCAACTCTGTTCGCAGCGTCTTGATGCGATCTACAGACTCGGCTGCCTCAGAATGAAGTTCACGTAAAGACCCCAAAGCAGCGAAAAAAGATGTCGATGCAGTTGATATCGACGAGATGAGATGCACCTCGATTGTATCCATGTACCAAGATAGCTTTTCCTGCAGAATAGCGTTGGTCGCTAAAGCCTTTCTTGGGTTCAGCGTACTCCCATTCGCGTTGGAGGTTCTCCGCTGGTCTGGCGATCCCGCTGTGGGCTTGACGACTTCGGACCTTTCACTGACAACATCAAATGTGCGAGGATTTTCGAGATGGAAGTCTTCTTCGAAATAAACATTAGGTATTGTAGAGAGAGGTGTAATCGCGTGCGCTCTTCTGCCTGCTCCCCCACTCGACCTTCTTCGTATGGACGGTGTCTCGATGGAAGAAGCTAGAGAGGCTAGTGAAGCTTTGCGAGAGAGATTCGGCCGACTTATTGCTTTTCGGCCTTGATCAAGGAGGTCTGCGAATTCGTCGCCCTTTTTGCCTTTTCGAAGTATCTGGGTCGGATCTTCGTCCTCATTCTCTTTAGCGCGTTGTAGTGCTTCATACAGCCCCCCCACTTGAGTAAGATACGACTTGAATTCGGACGGGTCGACATGGGGAATGTTCGTAAGAGTGACGGGAGGAATGTCTCGAGTGGTCGGCGGTTTATGTGCACTCGAAGCTGGAGCAGATGTGTGGGGAATAAGCCCTGTTCGGACTATGGGTGGTTGAAGGAGGGTCGATATAGCTTTACGTATCAGCATTATTTTCTGCCAGTTGAGTGTACAGCTCACCATTTTGACTGGACTCAACCAGACCATGCAAATGCAATGCCGTGTCTAATGATCCCCCTATAGAACCCGCGATTGAATGTATCGAGCTGGCCGTGGAACCTCTCCGGCGCTGGAATCTCCCACTAGAGCCCGGCCTCAGACTAAACTGTCAGCACCTCCTTCGCCCCTCCAGCAGACCCTATGACTGACCTGGGAAAGGGATAATCGTTTCTCGTGCGAGTGGGCGATATGGGGGAGGAACTTTCGAATGAAGGCCGGGGCGCCGGGGATGCCATGGCTTTCTAGCTCTATAGAGCTGGGCTTTTGAGCCTGGGTTGGCGACTGCGACTGTGACTGCAACCTCCACTGCGCACTCCGTTTGATTCTCGGGACCTCCAGCCTCCCCACAGCAGTCGGTGCAGCTTGCAATTCGAGTATCACAGAACAGACTTGTGGCGTTGTTGGACAAGTCCCGGAAGGGGTAGATGATTGAGAGGCCACGCAGGCCTTGGTAAACAAAACACTGCTCGTTGACAAATCTGATGGTGGCTATCGGGGGATCATTGCCGGGAGAAGATGGGCGCAAGGCGGTGGGAGTGGATACATAGATTTTCTGGACTGAGCATTATTGTCGTGAGTGGTCATGTAGGGAATTCGAATTCATTCCTGATGTTAACTATCTTGGGAGTATGCGCCTCTTCAGCCTTTGCGACATGCGGCTCTGCTATTGGACTTGGACAACCCTGTTGGCTCGGAGCTGCAAGGGCCGATCCTCCGTACGCTAATGCAAGCACTTCGACGCGAGATGCCAACCGCGACTCGACGCGTGAACCTGAAAATTAAGACCTCCCCTCACCTAACCTCACAACCACAGCTGAACCAACCCTCTTTCCAAGACGACGACAACAACAATAACCACGATAACGACGATAACGACGATAACGACGACATTACCCTCGCTTCTATCGCAACAGATCAAGAAAACTTCTCTGTCACGCACACTGCCCAAGATCTCTTTGCGCAATCATACCCGGCTTGTTGATATCGCATCTTCATCAACCCCTTTTCTCCCCGCGCAGCCTCCACAATGGACCACCGATCAGTCTACAGCTTGCCCGTCCTTGCACCGGAAGATCAGGGCGATGATACCCGCCAGCAGCTGCAAGCACAGCTGATGCAATTTATCCTACAATTTCGACTCGATAGCGTGTTTATTTATCGGTGAGTGCCCCCCTGAGTCTACAATAGCCTGTCTAACATCCATCAGTGACCAGATCCGCGAGAATGTCCTGCTGAAGCAATACTACTGCGACGTCGATGTTGGCCACTTGAACTCTTTCAACGAAGAACTCGCACACAGACTTAGTAAGGAACCAGCGGAAATAATCCCACTCGTAAGTACCCTGGTTTACTGCGGGGGCTCAGCTCTGACAAAGTGCAGTTCGAGGCAGCTCTAAAGAAGTGTACGCATCGAATCGTATACCCTTCCGAGCCGGATAAGCAACTCCCCGAACATCAACTCCTCCTCCATTCCGCAGCTAGTGATATCTCTATTAGAAATCTCGACGCGCTTGCCATCTCTCAATTAGTCTGTGTTCCAGGAATTGTGATTGGCGCATCAGTACTCTCCTCAAAAGCAACTGCGCTTCACATTCAATGCCGAAATTGTCGTTCAATAAAGGTTCTGCCTGTTGCTGGCGGTTTCGCTGGTGTCTCCCTACCGAGATTTTGCGAAAGACAATCCGAACTGCAAGAGGACAAGTGCCCGATGGATCCATACGTCGTGGTTCATGAGAGCTCTCAATTCGTTGATCAGCAGATAATCAAGCTTCAAGAGGCCCCAGATCAGGTTCCGGTTGGAGAGCTGCCTCGACATGTACTCATCTCCACGGACAGATACCTGACGAATCGCGTAGTTCCTGGATCAAGATGCACGATTACTGGCATTTTCTCGATTTACCAAAACAAACAATCAAAGGGGTCCAGCACAACCTCAGCCGTAGCTATCAGAACACCCTACCTACGAGCAGTAGGAATCCACACCGATGTAGATACCACGGCTAAAGGAAACGCCATCTTCTCGGAGGAGGAAGAGCAAGAGTTCCTGACCATGAGCAGAAGATCTGACCTCTACGAAATATTTGCAAACTGCATTGCTCCATCGATTTATGGAAACCAGGATATCAAGAAAGCCATTGCTTGCTTGCTCCTCGGTGGATCAAAGAAGATCCTCCCAGACGGAATGAAGCTACGTGGAGATATCAACGTCCTCCTCCTTGGTGACCCCGGTACGGCAAAGTCTCAGCTGTTGAAATTCGTTGAGAAAGCCGCTCCAATCGCCATCTACACATCCGGAAAAGGTTCCTCAGCAGCAGGTCTCACAGCTTCCGTTCAGCGCGATCACACAACGCGAGAATTCTATCTGGAAGGAGGGGCCATGGTGTTAGCCGACGGAGGAGTAGTATGTATCGACGAGTTCGACAAGATGCGAGACGAGGACAGAGTAGCCATCCATGAAGCCATGGAACAGCAGACCATCTCGATCGCAAAGGCCGGTATTACCACGATCCTCAATGCTCGCACATCAGTGCTGGCAGCCGCAAATCCTATTTTCGGACGCTACGACGATCTGAAAACCCCAGGCGAGAACATTGATTTTCAAACCACGATTCTCTCTCGTTTCGACATGATTTTCATTGTCAAGGACGAGCATGATCGTGGCCGAGATATCAAGATCGCTAAGCACGTTATGGGTATTAACATGGGCGGAAGAGGCGTAGAAGAGCAAGCCGAGGCTGAAATCTCAGTCGACAAGATGAAACGATATATCAGTTACTGCAAATCGTAAGTCCTGAAACCCATTCCTCAAATATCATGATGCTGACAAAAGCCCCAGACGCTGCGCCCCCCGCCTCTCCCCCGAGGCCGCCGAAAAGCTCTCTTCTCACTTCGTCTCGATCAGAAAGCAAGTCCACGCTGCTGAACTAGCCTCCAACGCACGCTCCTCGATCCCCATCACCGTCCGCCAACTCGAAGCCATCATCCGCATCTCCGAGTCCCTGGCCAAGCTCTCCCTCTCTACCATAGCAACGGAGCAACACGTCGACGAAGCCATCCGCCTCTTCCTCGCCTCCACCATGGACGCCGTCAAGATGGGCTCTGGCCAGGGCAGCAAGGAGCTGAACGACGAAGTGAATAAGGTGGAGGACGAGCTGAAGAAGCGCCTGCCGATTGGGTGGAGCACGAGTCTCAGCACGCTGAAGCGGGAGCTGTGCGATGGCAAAGGGTACAGCGAGCAAGCGCTGCAACGGGCCATTACGATACTGCAAAGACGAGACACGGTTACGATTCGGGGCCAGGGCAGCCAGGTTTATAGGAGTGGTGCTTAATTCTTGGTGTGCTTAGATTTATATCCCTTCCTGTTAGCTTTCAAGGTTTACCATACTATAGCCTGCATTTCCCGAAGTTTTCTACCGCCCCCCCTTTTTTTCCCCCTCTTTTTTCTTCTCTTCCATTTCCTCTTCTTTTCCCCTCCATTTTTTTCTTGTCATTTCTCTTTTCCGAGACGAGGACGGAAATGAACATTTCATATAGCGCTTTTTTTTTTCAATTTTTTTTTTCGGGACGCCAGTTAAGCCAGTCGTGGTGTTGCGTTTATTTGTTGCTATTGGACTATTATATTCTTTACTCTCTCATTTTAGTTTAGTTTTGTTTAGTCTATTTCAGATAAAATCAGATAGTCTGGTTTGGTTTACTACCATGGATGAATAGATGGTACAGTAGGGGAAAGGGGGAAGGAGAGGAAGGGTTCTGATGATGATGATGAGGTGGGATGGGATGGGATGATGGGATGGGATGATAGGATGGGATAAGATGGGCTTATTTAATTTTCTTACTTGCTAAGTACAGAACCCAAGTAGCTAGCTAGTCTAATTAGGTAGACAAGTAGATAAGATAAAATAAGCCAATCTAGAAAAGAGTCAAATATAAGAAGACGCAGAGATGCAAAGGAAAGGAAATTTTATCATTGCGTTGCCTTTACTTTACTCTACTGTATTCTACTTTCTACTTTCTACTTTGATTTAATTCGTTTTATTATCTTATCTTATGTCGTCCTCACTTAGTTAGTCAGTCGGTCAGTCAGTTAGTCAAGATCACTTACCTTACTCACTACTTACCTTACTCACTTATGCACTTACCAACGCCCATGCATTACATTTTCATCTTTCTTAGAATCTTTCCGTCTTTCTTTCCTTTTCTCTCTCTCTCTCTTCTTCCCTTTCTTCTTTTTTCCCTCCTCTTTCTTCTTTTTCTTCTTCTCTCCATCTCTCTCCATCTCTCTTCTTGATACTAAAACCCAATTCTAAAACCTATCTATCTATCTATCTATCTATCTATCCATCAAAATCCAGGTATTGAGATAAAGACGAAGTAGATAGATAAATAGATAAATAGATAGATAGCTAAATAGCTAAATAGATAGATAGCTAAATAGCTAAATAGATAAGAAGGTAAGCAGGTAGGTTAACACAGCATGCAAAATAACCAAGTAAAATAAAGAAAGGTATCGCTTATATCGCTTTTATGAATTTCTTTTCTTCCTTTCTCGCTCGCTTGTAATTTTTTGCACGTATGCGTGCCTGCATAACACAGCAGTTACATATTTTCTCCCCCCCCTTTCTACCACCGAATTTCAATTGCCATGCCGGCCACGGCACCATATCGTAATCGTCTGTCGTCATCTATTCGGGGCAGGCTTCCAGAATTCCATACCAGTTAATATTCCTACACACCCTTCTCCCGCCGAACAACTCGCCCTTTATATTAAACCCCTTATCCCTTCCGAAACTCCATTTTGATTTTGCTCTCTCACCCATGAACTCTCATCCTACTCCCCAACACTGACAGCCCCATCAACCACCTCGCCACTGACCACCCTCCCAGAATTTTTAGGCGGCGCAACTTGTAACCTCTTCGCATCCCTCTCGCCCTCCACGACACCCGCCTCCAAAGCACGCTTCACAGCTCCAGCCTTCTCTCCATTCGCAGCGCCAGCCGCAACCAAACTCGCGCTCCCCGTCGATTGGCGGTGCGAAACCTCGTTCTGCTTCAAGGCTTTTTCGTTCGGAGCAACACCAGTCTCTTTCGTGGCTTTGGCGGCGAGTTCTTTGCGACGTCGCGCTTCTTTCTCTCTGCGTTCGTTTTCTTTGCGCAGGGCTTTCGATTCAAATTCGTGCCAGTCGCCTTGGAGGGCGGCGAGTCTATTTTCCTGGTCAGTATAATGATTTCACATCGAGAGAAGGAAGGTGGGGAGTGAACATACTCAGTAGCCTGTCTCGGTACCGGATCCTCCGTCGTGAAATACGGATGCTCCAACACATCACTTGCACTCGGCCTCTTCTCGGGATCATACTGAAACATCGCCTCCAGCAAGTCGTAAGCAGCCGGCGTAACCCTCTCCTTGTACTTTTCTGCGAACACGTTCGCTCTTTTCACGGTAGGTCTCAGCAGCGCAAACCAGGCCATGTCGGTGTAACCAGGCCATGCCTCTTTCGTAGGTGTGCCGAGCACAGCCCAAATCTTGTCCAGTTGGGAAATCTCACCGCCGTCGCCGGGGAAGATGGCGTGTTTGGTGAAGATCTCGACGAGCACGCAGGCGGCACTCCAGATGTCAACTGCAGGCCCGTACTGCGTCTCACCGAGAAGTAGTTCAGGGGAGCGATACCAGATTGTAATGACGCGGTTGGTGTAGTCGAGTTGTCTTCGCTTGGCGTAGAAGCGTGCGAGACCAAAGTCGGCAATCTTCAGCTGTCCGTCACTGCTGACCAGAATATTGGCTGCCTTTATGTCACGGTGTAGAACGCCACGTCGGTGCAGGTAGTCGAGTCCCTCGAACATCTGCTTTGCAAGATGCTTCTTGTGGGCAGCCTCTAGCTTGAAGGTCGGATGGTTCAGCAAACCAGTGAGATCGTGAGAGAGATATTCAAAAACCATAAAGCAGTCATTCTTCTCCACCATAACCTCCTGCAGGTTGACAATGTTGTGGTGCTTCAGCGATTGAAGTAACTTAATCTCTCGAACAGCTGTCACCGGGAAACCATCGCGCTCGCCCTCCATGCGGATCTTCTTCAAAGCGACCATTTTCTTCGTGTAGACGTGAATGCCCTTATAGACCTTGCCGTACGTGCCGGATCCAACAACCGAGTCGTTGCCACTCTTCCTGTAGTAGACAGAGTCCGACTTTCGGAAGTCCTCCGAAAGCTGCGGCTTCTCCTTCGCCCTTTTCATAATCTTCTTGACCTTTCGCGTAGTGGGAGCAGATTGCTGTGGCTGAGCGGGTGCCTGAGCCTGGCCCTGGGTTGAAGCATTGTTCTGGGGGGTTTGTTGTCCGCCGGAAGCGGGCCCTGTGGGAATGTTCCGAGAGTTCGGTCCTTTGGGACCAGCAGAGGCAAATTGGACGCTGCGTGCTGGTCCCGAGTTCAGCTTCTGAGAGATATCGAGTTTTTGCGAAGTTGCCTGGACAGACTTCTTAGGAATCCCAAAACTGACCCCACCAAATTTAGGCTTTGAACTTTGCGGTCCTGTTGGAACTGGTCGACTCGCTGGCGGCGGCATTGCCTCTTCGTCCTTTTTCTTGTTCGCTTCCTTATCCTCAACCTGTAGGTCCTTCGATGGTCTGAACAGATCTTCGGCATCCTCCTCATCCACAACTTCGGGCTGCGGCTGGGAATCGGTCTTGCGCTGGGGGGTACCGACATTGGAACCAGCTTGCGAACCAGACTGGGATTCTGCATGCAATGCTGTTGTAGCGGGTATTTGCTGCGGGGGAGAAACATGCTGTGGAGACGTGTGCTGTGGGGTCGAATTGTGTGGTGTGACATGTTGCGGTGTTGCATTTCCGGGACTGACATGTTGTCCTCGTCCCATACCAATTGGACCGTTGTTTGGATTATTCGCTGAACTATTAAAGTGTGCATTTTGAAAATGTCCACCCCGGCCGCCTCTATGATCACCCCGACCACCCCGAGGATGAAAGTTGTTACCGCGATAACCTCGAGAATTGCCACGATAGCTGGTTTGGTATGGCGCATTGTTCATGGGTCCTGTGGGTGTTGAGTAGGGAGGAGATTGTGCATTGTTGTAGTACTGTCCTTGGGGAGCCACGGGGTAGGGCTGTTGGTGGGGCTGTTGGTAGTGATTCGGGGTGTACTGACTGCGATGACATTAGCTAGTGAACATTGGTGAGCATCAAGAGAGGGGGAAGGGGTGGACATACCCATGGTGGCTCTGTGGTGAAAATTGAGATTGTCCCACGTAGTTGCCTCTTCCGGCCCCATACGGCGAATGTTGTGGAGAGCCTTGGTATGAGTTTGGTGTCATATGAGGTTGAGGAGATTGGGAATATCGAGGATCGACATGGGGCCCCGGATTATATTGAGGCTTCAATGGGAAGGCGGCCTGCATGGGATTTTGATTGTAGCCTTGTTGGCCTTGGAAGCCACCTCGGCCATACATCTTATCGGACTTGACCTCAATACTGTTCGCACCTGAGGCAGCAGCAGGGGTGGGAGTGGAATTTCGGGCTCCTTTACCCTTCAAGTCGATGCTGTTGGCACCCGAAGCACTTGGGAAGGATGGCCGTCCAGATTTTGGCTTGCCCTTTCCGGCGCGGTAATCGTCTCGCGGATGCTCGTCCCGAGAACCCCGTCGACTTCCGCCACCTCTATCTTCTCTGGGTGACTTGCCACGTTCTCTAGCAAATTTGGGTCCTTGCGGCGAAGGTTGTCGAGAGCGAGAGTGATTTGCTGGGCCAGAGCGATCGAAGCCAGGAGATCTCCTACCAGGAATCGGAGACCGGCCTCTCTTCTGTTCCTTACCTCTAGGTCTGTCAAATGGAGAACGCTCGCGCTTTGGCTCCTTCCCCTTGTATTTGTTGAATGGTGAGCGATCTCGCGACCTGTGCGATTGTCTTGTAGGCGTTCTCTCACGTCTCGGCAGAACCTCGGATTTGCTAAGAGCCTCACGTCTTTCGCGTCGAGGACTCGGGGAGCGACCACGTCTGTCGAACGTGCCAGGATCTCGGGAGTACTTGGACTTGCCCTCACGGTGAAGATTAGAAGGTTTTCGGTCCGGGGATCTTCTACGGGCTGGTCCAGGGGAGTATTTCGGCCGTCTCTTTTCCGATCCACGGTCTAATCTCGAGGGACTTCGCGATGTATCTCTCCTCGACTTCTTATGGGTGCGCGGTGGCGATGGACTGCGGGTCTTGCGACGTTTTACTGATGATGATGGTGAGTGGTGGGTACTGCTTCGTTTTGGCTTGTCAGAGCCTCTCGTGTCCAGCAGCTCCCGTCCTCGATTACGCTCCCGCACCTCCTCCCTCGAATCTCGCAGCGGTGATCTAGAACGTCGTCTTCGCTCCGGGCTTCGGTCGCGCGGGGGACGCTCACTTTGTGTGGCAGGTCGTGATTTGGGAGGACGGTCCTTGGAGTCTCGAGCAGGCGACGGGCGTCGGTCGTTGAACTTGCTGCTGCGGTCGCGCGATGGGGATCTTCGCACTCCTCTGTCTACTCTACCTCTGTCTCGGCGATCGTCTCCGTGGCTCCAACTGTCTTTCATGTCGACATACCGGCCTCTTCGGGCTGGTTTGCCTGCGGGTTGGTGCTGGGGATGGGGATGGTGGTCGGCGTTTTGGGGCGAGGTGGGAGGATTGAGGTTGAGGCTATGATCGTGGTCGTGGTCGTGGCTCGAATCTGAGGGATGTTCTGCGATAATGCTTGCATGGGCCGCCATAGCCGAAGAGGGCCGTAGTGTAGTGTAGTGTAGGTAGGGTGGGCTTGCTTGGGTTGATGTCCCAGGAATAGGTGACAGCTTGCGCGACCAAAACAAAAACAAGAACAACGGCGATGAGCTTTTCGAGCACCAGAAGGAAAGGGAGGCCCTTCAACCCGATAGATGGGGAGAATTGCACCACCTACCGTTGTTGGCTCTGGCTTTGGATGAGGCTCTGCCCTGCTCTTCCCTGCCCTGCCCTTCTCTGCCCAGCAATCAACCGGGCCGGTTCAGCCCCGGCAGTTTTGCCCCAACCCGTCCTAGTGGCTTCCGACCCTCAGCAGTCCTCCATCCTCCCATCGCCCTCCCTCTCCACCCATCAAGATCATATTTCAATGTCACGGCATATTTTTATCTACGTAGCGCATCACACGCCCAATCCAAGGACTCTCACGTTGATCCAGTAGGGAAAAAAAACAAGAATGCATCCACCCCATCCTCTGCCTCAAGGAGTTCCGATGCCCCCAGGCTCTTGTAAATGCGCGTCCAAGTGGTAGGTATGCTTTGTTCCGTGCAGTACAACATCACCCCCAAGGCGGCCAGCGTGATCGTAGTCTTGTAGTACAGCTGCTCAAGATATATCCAGCGTAGTTTTCTTTTATCATTTAGCTCATGCGCCAGTATGTGGTCTGTTGCTCATGATATATCCCAGAGACGTAGATGGTGAGTTGCAAGTTGCCAACGGCAGCCAGATATATCCGATTCGTGATGGCAGCCGGTGGGCGTATTATGTGGGTATCGGGCAGATGCTACCCACCATCGTGACAGTCCTGCGCGGAGCAGACCCGGGTCTGCAGATAGTATTCCGATCCCCCGTATGGTTACCTGCTCTCCCAAGAGCACTGCAGAGGCACAGGCTAGAATATCGTGATCAAGAATAAGCGCAGTGCCGCCACATCAAGAATGGGCGTCACATCCAGCCGGCATCAGTACGTACGCTATTGCAACAACATAGCGTCGAGCTGACACGTTCTCCATGCTAGGAGACTTGGGAAGTAAACATCTGGTCAAGGTGGAAACGAACCTCAGTCGTCTGCTCAGCCATTACGGAGTGCTCCATGGGAAAGTACTGTGGGGCTGTGATGATTCTCGGCGGGGGTCGTAACGCTGAGTGACGTTCAACGCGATGGTATATTCATACCCGTTACCTGATGACTGTAGGGAATTATTAGAGCAGGAATGGCATCCATATGGGAAGTCCAGGTAGTCCTCCGCGTTTCTCGGATCATGTAACAGCGGGCAGATGAGCCCTATTTGGCAGCTGTGGGCTGGACGCTGCCATAGGTCACCACCTGCGATATGTGTCCCCCACCCCAACGACGTTCGTAGCAACGATCAAAAAGCAATTTCAGCGACCTGAAGCCGTATGCGGATCGATATCTTGGATTTGCCGAGTTGGAGCTGGATATGGGAGTAGCTCAGAGGCTATATGGGTGACCCAGCAGGTTGATTTAGGATCCAGGATACTGCCCCACGAGCCACACAATTAAGCTGTCTCCTATTATCAACGTATTCGTTCTCTGTATTGCGAAGAAGATAGTTCTGAGGTTGCAGACACCGCTGGTGCATGTCTTGCTGAGAGGGCGGTGAAAAGGGATTGTGTTCAGGTCGGTATAGAGTCTGGTTTTCGACCTTGTTGTTGGTGCGAATATGCGCAGCTTCGCTGATCCTACATAATCATTAGATACTCCAAAGGTGCCCATAGATACATGGTCGGTATTGTCGATGGCGATGTTTATGTTGCCGACCTCCCTGTAAGACGGAGTCGGGATGAAATGGTGTCGCTGAACAGGGTTTGTAAGTGACTTGTGATTTCACGTAAGCGCCTTAGGTAAGCTAGCTACGCCGAGATAGGGATGGTGTCTGAACGGGCACACCCTCGTAACGACTGTTGGCATCCATCCCAAGAGATCAAATCCTATCTCTTTGTTTTATTATATTTCCTACTGCCATCGATGTTGTAGGTATACATATAGTCTATCGCTATCCCAGAAAAAAAAAATTAACAGCACCGCTTGGGATCAGTCCATCCTCTGGATATGCATGCCTTCAAGGAGATACTGCTCCTTCTACGAGTTCTATACTATTCGAAGTCCTCAAGGCTCAAGTGACGGTATGCAAGTAAGTCAAGGGAAGAAACATGCATGAGTTCCGCGCAATAGCCTCTATGGTTTATTGATGTCTACTTCTCACCAAGAACACGACAGTGTCCAAACGTACATACATACATATATAAAGCTTCATTTCCCGACACAGAAAAGGCCTTCGGAAAAATATAGAACCTCTTCCGCCCATCATCGTCCAAAACCACCTCCTAAGACCCCATAGCAACGGTCGCTTTAGAATCAGTTGATCCTCCGCGCTCCCGTCTCACCATCCAGCACCCAAGTCATCACTCCTGACATCGCAACCTCTATCTCGGTGGTATAAGGGGCAAACAGCGCCCCAAGCCGAGGTATTGCTTGCTGGGGAATTGCAGCAGCTTGCGGAGCAGGAAATTGCTGTTGTTGAGTCGTAGCTTGTTGCTGCGTAAGTTGTGGTTCAGTCGGAGCTCGCTGCTGCGCACCGAAAGTCTGAGCGCCCGGACCAATTCTCATAGCAGGATTGTGCTGAGCGCCGAGATGGACGGTGCCCGAGAAAGTAGTAGGTTGAGGGAGAAGTTGCTGCTGCGGAGGAGGGAAAAAGCCAGCGGCAGCTGGGCCTTGGGCGGTAGCAGCAGGGTGAAGCCCAAATGCGGAACCCGGATCGCTTCTCAGAGTATGCATACTTTGAGCTCTAGTGGGATCATGAGATTGCTGATTTGTTAACGGTTGAGCGTTCGCCGAGCCAGGTGATGTATCCTGAGGAAACGCAGGATTTTCTCTACGGCGACCACGGCCGTTCCTATTCCGGCCTCCCATCCAAGTAGAAGGTGCAGAGGAGCCAGAGCCGAAGGCAACGGCTCTCCTACGCCCAACAGCATTGATACTCTGAGTTGTAGAGTTGATGGGTGTGGTTTGAGGCGCGGTAATTTGACCTCTACCAAGACCAAGGGGATTCGGATTCTGGAGTCCTGGGCTGGCGGCACGAGGATGAGGTCTCGTGGTCTGCGGAACAGCTCCCTGAGATGTTGCGGCACCATGCTGAGCAGCAGCCATTCCAAAAGCTTGCATGTGCTGAGCGCCTCTCTGGGTGGTTGGGCTCTGGGCAGTAGCAGGGCGAAGGGCTGGTGACGTGCTTGTAGCAAGATCGTCGATCTGCTGAAAAAATGAAGGATATTGCGAAGGCTGGCTGCTTCCAAGTCCAAGAGTGCTCATGCTCTGGACAACTGGCTGTAACGTAAATGAGAGACTGGCTTGTTGTCCAGTAGGAAGCGCAGACGGTTGGCTTCTGCCGGAGCCTAGAGCACTCATATGCTGATTCGACGCTGAGCCAGCACCATGAGCAGGCTGGCCTCTGCCACTTGCAGGAGTAGCAGGAGAACTGAAATGCTGAGCAGCAGGAGTGGCGGTACCCTGAGATCTAACCAAGCCATGGGTGCCCATATGTGAAGCGTTGGTAGGACCGGGAAGTGATTGGCTTCTGCCACTTCCAAGAGTGTGGGAGTTCTGAGTATTTGCTTGGGAGGCAGCAGAGGGGCCGAACTGTTGGCCCGTAGGAGCCGCAGTATTCTGAGCTCTACCCATCCCATGGATTCCCGCCTGTTGAGCGGCAGGAACTTGCATAGGTTGGCCTCTACCGAGAGTATTGATATTCTGGACTGCTTGAGTTGGAGCGGCAGGCTGAGGGATAATCGGCTGGCCTCTACCGAGAGCATTTGTGTTTTGGACTGCCTGGATCGGAGCGGCAGGTCGAAAAGCATTTGCCGGGCTCATTCTGTGTGCCATGCTCACAGCAGCAATTTCAACCGCAGCTCTTGATCGAGGCTTCAAAGGCGGCAGAGGAGGTTGAGGACGAGCTGGAAGATTTGGTCGAGAGCCGGGCTCTGGTCGAGTTCCGGCGTTCTCGGTGGCAGCAGCATGGCCACGCTCCTGAGCACCCTCCCGTGGATCATCAAGACGAGTAGTGACGATAATAGGCAGAGTGGCAGTAGACGACTCGCCCGCATTCGGAATGTCAACCACCATCGTCTTCGCCAGCGTAGCCACCCTCCCCCTCCTCCTCTTCAGTCCCCCGGCCATCCTCCTCTCAAAATTCCTCATCCTCTTCTCCTCATCCTTCGACTTCTCCCTCTCCCTCTGCTTCTGTATCGCATACCTAGGGTTGTTCGACTCCTTCAGCTGCTCGCTCTCCTCGTACACCGGCGGCTCAATCTCAAACCAGTCGTAGTCCTGCTTGAGTGGGTGCTCCGGTTTCTCGCCCTCATCAGACATGTACTTCTCGTCGTCGGTCGGTGGCGTGTCCAGCCCTGTCACCGGATCGACGTACCCCCACAGCATCATCCCTATGATATGGTTCTTCAGACGCAATCCCCTCTTCACGCTCTCCATCACCACCAGCTCATCTGGCCGATCCAAATGCGCGTTTCCCTTGCCCCAGCCCTCAAGATGTCCCGTGCCGACCTCATCGTACCCTATCCCAAAAAGACTCAGATGCGCATATTCCTCCGGCGGCGCCCAATCATATCGAATCGCCGCCTTGATAACATCCACCTCCTTCGTGAACCTCTCCCGCCTCAACATCCTACGTAGCGGCGTCAAGCCCTTCTGCCCCAACATAAGCTTACGCAGGTGATCGTCTGCCGGCCCATCAATCGGGTCGTTGAATCGCATATCCAGCTTCACGACAAACAGCTGGATGTTGTACAGATCCATATTCGTGAAGTAGCTTCTGCTGTGCATGACCTGGGCGCGGCGCGCGCTCGTCGATATGTCCATAACCAGCCACATCTTCTTGAGAGTGAGGCTCATGCCGGCCGGCGTGCGGTGGCCCTGCCGAGCGAGGCAGGCCAGGATGTCGCGCACGCTTTTCTCTCGGTGAACGACCATCTGCAGCCAGCGCAGGCTGGGAACCTTGCGCACCTCCTCTTTACGGATGGGATGCGGCCTACCTACGGGGTCCGGCATGCAGAGCGACTCGTACAGCGTGAAGGGAAAGACGCGGGAGGACTCTGGAGCTTGGGCGGCGGCGCAGGCGCGTAGCGCGTGTGAGAGGTGGCCGTTGAGGATGTTATTGAAGGGCTGGGACATGCTGTAAAGGGTGAGGAGGGAGGGCATGTCCATGTATTTCGCCAGCTCCATCAGCAGTTCGGGCGCGCTGGACATGCGGACGAACCAGTCGCGGGTGTTTTCGTCTGTTGCATTCTCTTTCCCTTTGCCCTTCACCTTCTGATCGCACTGGTCGGTATCCATGTCCACATCCATCGCATCTACATCCATCTCATCATGCACCTCCACATTTATCAAACTCCCCTCCCCCTCCCCGTCCCCATCCCCCCATCCCTCAACCATTCCCTTCCTCCTCATCCTCTCTTCCTCCACACCACCACCCATAATCCCCGCAGCAGCCACCTCCTCCTCCGAAACCCACCTCCTCGCTCTCTCCGCCTGCGCCCTCCGCTCTCGAAGCCGCTCCCAGTCCTCGTCGCTCTGCGTGCTGGCGAGCATCACGCGTGCAATCTCGTTCTCCCAGACTGCGCTGAAGGCGCGTGCATTGGACGGATTTAGTGGCTGGGGAATGTGCGGAGTGGGCGTGAGGGGGGGGCGTAGGCGGACATTGGCCGTTGGGGGGTCGTTCGCGGGGTCGGGGTGGTTCATTCTATGTTTATTTTGCGTGTACTATGTGTATTCAATGTATAGTATGTATGTATGTATGTGTTGTGTATCTTCGTTCGCGCCTGCGAAGTTGGCGTTGTGGTGTTTGGGAAAAGTCTTTCGAGAGTCTGGTGATGAGTGTGGGAGAGAGAGAGTGTGTGTGTGCGAGAGAGGAATAGCGCTTGTCGGAAGTCAACAAACGCTAGCACACTAAGCGAGGTAAAGTCACGTTTTCGAAAACCGTCACCCCTATTGGCAAAGTATGTCTACGGCATGAGTGGATAGGCAGAGCGCTGGTGCGAAATCTCATAAGTTCCATCCATTATCGTCCCGTAAACGCCACTGCCTAAGCTAGAAGAGAGATAGATGTCGCTTTAACTCCTTTCCCCCCACATGAGGGAAGTATGCATCTCTCTGGGTATCCACAATCATTTCTCTGCCAGCATCTCAACCCTCACGACGCTCATCCATCGGTACATCATGGATATCCTTGCATGTGATCGCCTCCGCAACCTTCCAGATCTGAATCAAATTATCATCCGCAGCACTGCATACTACCCAAGGCTCATTGGGGTTCCAGCTGAATTCCGCAAGATGGTTCGTGTGGCCGCCATGCATGAACAGCCTGGAGAAATATCAGTATGACCATTTATACCTGGAGTTATCGTGTACTCACATCTCTGGAGGTCCATCCGCCTGATCTTCTGGCATTTGCTCTTCGCCAACTCTGCTAAGATCCCAGACGATAATTCTACGGTCATGACTACCGCTGCCAAGAATTGACTCCTCGTATGGATGCCAAGCCAGAGAAGTAACGGTATCACCATGGCCCTCAAGCGAATGCAGCTTATCCTTCAGATTTCTCAGATCCCAGATACCAATCGTCTTATCGTCAGAGGCCGTAGCCAGGACGAACTCAGAGAAATGGTTGAACGCCAAGGAATTGACGGAGTCTGTGTGAGCATCACACGTAATGATAGACTCTGTGGTGTTAGGGTGCCGGGTATCGAGAATTTGAAGGGTGCAATCATCTGAGACGGTTCCGATGAGAGACTTGTGGAACGGGTGGTATTGGACGTCGTTAACAATGGCAGTGTGATGCGTGTAGACGGAATCTGCATTGATGTTGGTATGAGCAGCCCCGAGGCTTTTGACGTCCCTACCAAAATCAGCCAGTGCAGCGTCCCAAGCGTGAACCTACTTACCACAAACGAACCGTCATGTCCCTGCTACCAGTCGCAAGCTTTGCAGCCTCATGAGGGTTCCAGCACAGCCCAAATCCTTCTTCCGTGTGGCCTACTAGTTCCGCATCAGGACTTACAACGCCTTTCGGGTTGCTGCTGTGCTTGGTGCGATCGAAGATGAGAACTCGTCCGCCGGGAGCCATGGTGGCAATCATGTTGGGGTTTTGCGGTTGGTATCTCGCCTTATTTACCTCGCCCGGGTGATCAATCTTCTGTTCGATGGTCATCCTGACGGCGCCGTGCTCGGTACCTTGGGGGGATCGGTATGCATAGCCACCGATCTCTCCGCGTGGCTCATCGTAGTCGTAGGGGTCTGGGACAACGCCTTTCGGGATCTCGACGTTTGCAATTTGTAGGTAGTTTTGAGCGCCTTCTGATGTATAGGTGCCAATCAGCAGTCGATGGATGGTACAGTTCTTGCCCGCAGGCCTATCAGACTGTCAGATCCTACGCAGACTATAGCTCGGATAGGAGGGCAGCTTACTCCTTCTTGTCAGGGAACCATTGGGTTGTCAGAGTTGGCCACTCCAGCGCGGTGCTACATTTTTCAGCATCAGCCCATCGCGAGGGAGGCATTCCTTACCTAAGTATAAAATCGTAGATGAAGGGGGCATTCTTCTTCCACGACTTGTACTCTGTGATATTCTGGTGAGCTTCGCACGCGAAACAATTTCTGCTCGAGAGTCATACCTTCGTTTATGATCTTTTGCTCCATGTCTTGGTCATCACTCTCAATCTCGGGGACTGTGAATGTTGGACTGTATTAGCAAATAGCTCTTTGCGCCTCGGAGGCTGGAGCGGCAGACTGACTATCTGAGTCCATCGCAACGTCCTCGTTTCGATCCGCCATTTTTGGAAGTATGAGAATAAAAGGCGGCTTCTCCAAGTCAAAGATAGAGGTCGATGGGGAGGATGAGAGCGGTTGAGAGGACGAGATGTACTGTAGTCGCGTCGAGAAACGCGACTTCTCTAGCGCTTCTAGGCATTGTGGTCCAAGTGTTAAGCTCGACCTCCCGCTCTGACTTCTTCACCTCTTCAGCCTTGTCGAGCTTTCGCCTCTTCACCTCCTCCCTCCCTCTTCTTGCTTGCAGAACCCCAGATCATCACATCACCACGACCCGACGACAGCGAGTGTCCTATTCCTCGAACACCGACAAGAACGCGTAATTGAAAGCGCATTCTACCAGACTAGGCCAGACCCGTTCGACCCCCCGCCCTCACGACACTACCACATATAACACAACCCACATCGCATCGCGAAATATAGTACAATGGGTGTTCCCAAGTTCTTCAGATGGATGAGCGAGCGGTATCCCGCCATCTCGCAGCTAATTGCAGAGAATCGTATTCCCGAGTTCGACTGCTTGTACCTAGACATGAACGGGATCATCCACAATTGCACCCACAAAGACACCGACGATGCCATGTTCCGAATGACGGAGGAGCAAATGTTCATTGCTATATTCAACTATATTGAGCACCTGTTCGGCAAGATCAAGCCCAAGCAGCTCTTCTTCATGGCCATTGACGGAGTGGCGCCGAGAGCCAAGATGAACCAGCAGCGCGCGCGAAGATTCCGAACAGCGCTTGACGCCGAGAATGCCAGAGATAAGGCGATCAAGGAAGGAAAGGAGATGCCCAAGGAGGAGGCATTCGATAGCAATGCTATTACCCCAGGTACAAACTCCGACCGCTTTATAGCCCATGCTCTAAGCTAACTTTCTAAGGTACGGCTTTTATGCACAAGTTGACACAGCAATTGAAATATTTCATCAACAAGAAAGTGTCGGAGGACACTGACTGGCAGGGCGTTGAAGTTGTTCTATCCGGTCACGAAGTCCCTGGAGAAGGAGAGCATAAGATCATGGAATACATTCGGTTAGCCAAGGCGCAACCCGATTACGATGCCAATATTCGCCACTGTCTCTACGGTCTGGACGCCGATTTGATCATGTTAGGTCTCTTGAGTCATGACCCACATTTCTGCCTGTTGCGAGAGGAAGTTACCTTTGGAAGACAGAGCAAGGCAAAATCTAAGGAGTTGGAGCACCAAAATTTCTATCTCATGCACCTTTGCATTGTACGAGAATATCTGGAGTTGGAGTTTCAGGAGTTGAAAGAGCCTGGTGTGCTCTCTGCTTCTTTCGACCTGGAGAGGATTATTGACGATTTCATTCTGATGGCGTTCTTCGTTGGAAACGATTTCTTACCCAATTTACCCAACCTGCATATCAACGAGGGAGCGTTGGCGTTGATGTTCAAAGTCTACAAGACTGTTTTACCCAAGGCGGGTGGATTTATTAACGAGGGGGGTGTCATTAATATGCAACGTTTGGCTATGCTTTTGGAAGAGCTGTCTCATGTTGAGTACCGATTCTTCGAGTCAGAGAACTCGGACAAGAGTTGGTTCAAAGCTAAGCAGATGGCAAAAGAAGATGTCATGGTCAAAGGGAAGACCAAGGCAAAGGTGACCATGACCACGCCGCAGCGAGAGGTGTGGAAGCAGGTCAAGGCGTATGTGACAAGTCGCTCTGATCAGCCTCTGGATCTGCCTGGTACTCTTCCGGCAGCAGACAGAAAGTTTGTCCAGGAGCTCGCCGAGAGTCTGCATCTAGACTGGAAGACGGTGGAGAATGACGAAGGCGATCGTCATATGCAATTGTCTTTCCCCCCGAAGCTAGAGGGAGAGGATGAAGATGGCGAGGATGAAGATGAGGAGTCTCAACTTGCTATTCTGCGAGTCGTCAAGCAGTTTGACAATGCAAAGGTTGTGGATGTCTCAAAAGCAGACGCTCAAGCGGAGATGGACCGCCAATATGAGGTCAAATTCCAGGAATGGAAGGATACATACTATAAGGGCAAGTTCGAGTGGGATCGAAACAACGAGACGGAGCTGACCAAGTTATGCGAGAACTACGTCCAGGGTTTGCAATGGGTTCTCCATTACTACTACCGAGGAGTGGTATCTTGGCCATGGTATTATCAATATCACTATTCACCCATGATCTCAGGTAAGCTAAGCCAATCATGCTGCCTTTCTCTAGTCACTAAAGTTGCCTAGATGTCATCAAGGGCCTCAATGCTGATGTCAACTTCAAGCTTGGGCAGCCATTTCATCCCTACGAGCAACTCATGGGTGTGCTTCCCGATAGAAGTAAGACTATCGTCCCATCGGTCTATCATGATTTGATGACCAATCCCAACTCCCCTATCATCGATTTCTATCCGAGAGATTTCGAACTCGACATGAATGGCAAGAAGATGGAATGGGAAGCAGTTGTCAAGATTCCATTCATTGACGAGAAAAGACTGCTTGCAGCCATGGCGCCCAAATATCTACTCCTGAGCGAAGATGAGAAGTTCAGAAACGAATTCGGGGTAACGGTGAAATTTACCCATGATCCGCATGTCGACTTCATTTATCCTTCGTCTCTAGTTGGCGTCTTCCCTGACCTCCCACATTGCCACTGCGTCGAGAACATTTTTGATCTGCCGACAATTGAAGGCCTGGAATACCACGTCGGTTTGATGGAAGGTGTCAAGCTTGGTGATGCGGCACTCGCTGGCTTCCCAAGTTTGGCGACACTTCCTTACAATGCCACTCTGGGCTTCCACGGGGTCAACGTGTTCCAGCAAGATAGTCGTAACGAAAGCATGGTGGTGACTATTGAAAACACGGACGAACGCACCAACGTCAAGACCGCTATCACGAAGCTTGGTCAGCGAGTGTTCGTTGGATATCCCTTCTTGAACGAAGGCAAGGTAGTCAAGGTTTCTGATGAACTGTTTGATTACTTCCCTTCGGAGGATGGTTCGTCTCATGCAATTCAGAAACCTCATAGTCCTCACGAGATCAACGATTTTCAGAAGAAAGCCGAGAGAATTGAGAATAACTACAGTAAGCGTCTAGGCATTATTATTGGCACCGTCGAGTCGATCACGCATGTAGAGATGCTCAAGGGTCTGAGGAAGACGGACGACGGAGCAACGGTCAAGGAGTACGCTGTCATACCTGGAATGGAGACAGATTTCGCTTCTCAGGTTATCGTGGATGAAGTTGCCTCTGAGGATCAGAGATTTATCGAAAGAGCAGCTCTTCCCATCGAGGAGGAATTTCCTGCAGGCTCTCGAAATTTCTTCCTTGGAGAATTCAACTATGGTCGACCTCTCGAAGTAACTGGCCACCGCGATGGCAAGGCAGACATCTGGCTCTCGATCATAAAAGGAAAGGAAGTTGAATTTGGCAAGAACGTTGTCAATAGCCAATATGCGCAAACATCTTACACGCCAGCGTATGCGGTGGCGAAGATGCTAAATTTGAACGGTCTTGTCTTGAGCAAGGTCATGTCGTCTTTCTCCGTTTCAGCACTTGGCCTTCCCCGTCTCAACCTTGGACTCAATCTGAAGTTCGAAGGAAAGAAACTGAAAGTCCTGGGCTATTCTCGCAAGAGTGAGTCCGGTTGGGAGTACAGTAATAAGGCGATTAAACTTCTCACCGATTACATGACTCGATTTCCCGAATTCTTCGCTGGCATTTCACGCAATGCTCGTGCAAACGAATATGAGGAAACCGATTTCTACCCAAAAGAGATTGCCGGCGCGAAGATCAAGGAGATTGTCGCTTTCTTGAAATCCATTGAGAGCAAGAACTTTGAGAAGGTTCCTCTGGACGCGGAGCAGCTAGATTCAGATGTTGTCATGGCAATTGAACAGGCCTGCGATTACGCCCTAGCGAATGGGCCGAGTGTCGAATTCCAGAAATTGAAGGGTGTGCCTCGCAATGCACTGATGAAGCCCTCGGATGCGGAACACCGTCTCGGGAACCAGAAGTTCGCTCTTGGCGACCGGGTGGTGTACATCCAAGACTCTGGCCGAGTGCCGATTGCAACTCGCGGTGTCGTCGTTGGCATCTCTCGCACGCCGAGAACCACGCTTTTGGACATATTATTCGATGTCACTTTCATGAGTGGCACTACTCTGGGTGAACGTTGCTCACCATTCCGTGGTTCCACGGTCCCAGTTGCGTCCGTGCTCAACTTGACCAACAAGCAAGTCATTGCTGGATCCAAGGCTGCAGTGCAAAGACGCCCAGCCTCTACCAGCACACCATTGACTGCCAACGGCGGCTACGGTGCTCCAGCAGGACCAGGCGGCCGAGGTCAATTCCGCGAAGCCAGCGCTCCACCCCCCCTGAGAGGTTCCTTCCGCGGAGCCGTCGCAGGTCAGCAGAATGGTGTCCAGCGCGGCAACGGATTTGTACCGCGAGGTAGAGGCCGAGGTGGTTTCTCAAATGACAGTGCCTCTGATCCTTACATGCCCGGTATCGCAATCAGAGGTGGCTCACCCCATCTCAATGGACGTGGCGGCAGAGGCGCCCTGATGAATGGTAACGGTGTCCGACGAGGTGGCGCACCTTCTGCTCCTCAATCTTACAACGCCGTTCCTCCACCTTCCAGTATCGACGCTCGCGGACGTGGCGGCGGTCGTGGTCGAGGTGGCAGAGGTCGTGGCGCGCCTAGAGGAGGACGCGGTGGAGCTGCTTCGGCAGAGCAGTCTTAACCATCCTAAAACGAAAGGTTGGTCTCTGGATTAGCTAGGCTCTGGATAGGTGGGTATATTTCAGCATTGGAAATGCATCATGGTTGACGATTGCTACGATTTGGTTGACGACGTTCTGATTGAAACGCCCCACTTACTGGTATGATAGATGGGCATTTATGCAGGTGGTGGTGCGAGCAAGCGATCGATGCTTTTATCTTGGACTGAAGGAGGGAATAAGAGTCAAGGCGAAAGGGAAGCTGGTTTTCGGTCATTTAGACTGATACTGACTAACGAGGTACATAAAAAGTAGATAGATACATAGAGATCCCAACCCGACCTGCAATGGCCTGGAAGTGTATGTTTCGTATCTATATAAAGTCAAGACAAAATGCTTTGTTTGATGAAAGAGGCAGGAACAACAAGGCTATTCGGACAGCCTCTGAGCAATAGCAATACACCTGTCACATAACTTTTATACTTTCATTACATTATTTACGCTTCTCGTCACACACCTTCTACGCCAGGAACCAGCCTTGCGCGCACGATTAGCGGCGTTTCTGAAGAGCGTTGTTCGTATATTATCCTTCCTTCTACACGTATCAAGGGAATGCTTGCTCAATTTTGCGGAACACCTTCCTGCCCCGAACTCCACCGCCCGTGTTTCCCCTCCCTCCACCCCCCATAACGCCCATATAATAATAGTGTTTCGACATACGAGAACCCAAGGCTCATCGCTCATTCATCATCGCTCGAATCCATCAAGCTGTCATGGCCATCCATACCAATCTCACTACTCCGTTTGAACGCAAACTTCCTTTTATCCTTCGTTTTCCTAGCTAAGAAATCTCTTGCATCTGCCTTCTTCGCTGCCAACTGCTTTTCAAAATCTTCATCTTCCTCAAAATCCTCGGCCCCGTTTCCACCACCAGCCACAGCAGTCTCCTCAAGGGCCTTGTTCAAAAGCTCCGTGGCAATTGCATCTTGGGGCGATATGGCCAGGGCCTCGTGGAATACCACCACGGCCTCGAACGGTCTGCGCTGTTCCATGAGGACAAGACCTTTTGCGCAGAACACACTCGGGTCTTTACCCCCAAGGCGGAGCACCTCGTCAAATTGAGCAAAGGCCTCATCCCAGTTTTGAAGTCGACGATACGCGTGTCCGAGGTTGGACCGGGTTGAAATCCAAGCTGAAGGATCGCTGCCAATCTCATCCGCAATATCTAGTGCTTTGCTGAACATCCGCACAGCCTCTGGGAGACGATCCTGGTGGTAAAACACGACGCCCATCTCGTTCAAAAGTAAGGGATCCGTTGTGCAGAGTCCATATGCCGTCTTTAGAAACTCATCAGCCAGTGTCATGTTGTTTAACATGTGATTCTGCATCCCTAGAAACAATTGTGGGAGATGCGTGCCCATGAACAGGCGAGCAGCGGTCGAGTATGCAGATATCGCCTGATCGTGCTCACCCTCAGCAGCAAACGTATGGGCGAACCCGATCCAGGCCGGTCCAAAATGTGGATCCATCATGCTCGCTTTGCTGAAGTACCTTCGAGCTTCGGCAACTTTGTTGATAGCTAGATAATATACTCCAACGGCCAGCCAAGTACACGGCTCCTCGGGATGGTTGTCGGCCAAATCGTGAGAAATCAAGAAGAGGGCATTCTTCAGCTGAAGTTCGTATAAACAGGCCAAATGGAGAGGGTATATGCTGAAATTGTATTTATCTCCCTGTAGAATAGAGTTTGTGATTGATAATGCATCTTTGAATCGGCACTGAGTAAACAAGAGGTCGGCTTTGGATAGGAGGAGATCCGGGTTATTAGCAAGGTTGTAGTGCGTGGACAGCGTCTCCGTTGCCGTCGAAAACGCGGCCGGATTTTTGTATTTCGACAATCTGGTTGTGTAAAGCATCCTTGTGAATTCGGCGGCTTCTTGGGAGGAAGATGGGTCATCGGTCACACATATCGTATCGAAGTCTAGGGAGTCCAAGAAGCGCCATTCTTCGTCCGGGGACATCAAGCAATTTTTCATCAGCTGCTCAAAGGCCTCAAAACACTGGACGTCTATTCTCACGGCATCCTTGTAGCATTCCTTTGCGCGATCGAAAGCGTTCTGTTTCGCGTAGCAAAGTCCCCGGAGGAAACACATAGCGGCCTCGAATCTAATGTTCGCCGCTTCGTCTTGAGCGCCTTCATCTTTCCGATCATGCCTATCACTTCGCCCGAGGGCCTTCGATCCGGCTCTAGTGTGGCCGTTGGTATGTTGTATCTTGCGCCGGCCGTTGCCCGCTGTTGTGATTAAATGCGTAGGATTCTTCTCCCCGAGAAGATTAAGCGCTTCCTCGAATCTATTCTGCTTGATCAAGCAGTGTCCGGCAAGGTACCGACATGAGGGGTTCCGGGTGATCAGGTCTTGTTTGGAGAGGAAGCTCTGGGCTCGAGTGTAGTTGCCCGTCGAGAAGTGAACTTGGGCGAGCCAGAAGGCGTCCTTGTCATTTCCTGTACGGTTTTGTTAACTTGGGTAGGTGGTAGAGCTGGGGCTGGATGTCATACGGGTCAAAGCCAGTAGTTTGTCACCTATAAAGATGGCCGAGTCGTACTGGTGCTTGTTGAGGGCATCCTGGCGCCAGTCCCGCAAGAACTTCTCCATGGCGGGGTTAAGAACATTCGCAATGGATTGGATTGAGTTGGACCCTATTGCCGGGAGTTTCTGAGGGCTGCGGGTCAGCGTTTGGAGGGTGGAGTTGAGATGAGGATGAGGATGGAGGTGAGGATGTGCATTTCGTTAGGGACATCGCGTTTACGAGAAGACGCGAGGCTTCGTACGCGATGCAGCAGCCTAGGTACTTACCACCTCACAAACGCCAAGTTTGACGAACATTCAGTACTTGAGCTTCACAACAACATCAATCCCGCTCGCAAATACCCACGAAGCTGCACCTTTCATACCCCTTCTTCACTCTACCTGAATAATGGCGTCCGGATACGACAGAGCTCTATCAGGTAATCTCAAGCTCTTCTCTGGTTCGGTGTGTTGACACAGCTAACAATCCATCAGTCTTCAGGTTAGTTAGTTGTGAGCAGCGCACAAGCTTCACACATATCCTAACAACATCTGCAGCCCCGATGGACACGTCTTCCAGGTCGAATATGCGCTGGAGGCCGTGAAGAGAGGTACGATTGGCCGTTGAGGGAGGGAACCATGGCTAAAGTACCCCAGGAACATGTGCCGTTGGTGTAAAGGGAGCAGATATCGTCGTACTGGGCTGCGAGAAGCGCTCCGCTATGAAGCTTCAAGACACCCGCATCACACCCTCGAAAATTGGACTCGTTGACACCCACGTCTGCCTTGCCTTTGCTGGACTTAACGCCGACGCCCGAATCTTGGTCGACAAGGCTAGATTAGAAGCCCAGTCTCACCGTCTGACTGTCGAGGACCCGGTCACGATAGAGTACATCACGAAGTATGTGGCGGGTGTGCAACAGAGATATACGCAGAGTGGTGGTGTCAGACCATTTGGGATCAGCACCTTGATTGTTGGGTTTGATCCTAATGACAAGACCCCGAGACTGTACCAGACTGAGCCATCCGGAATTTACTCTGCATGGTAGGTCTCATCGATCAAGGTGAGGGGGATGGTGCTGATGGTGCTACAGGAAGGCAAATGCTATCGGCAGATCTAGCAAGACCGTCCGCGAGTTCCTAGAGCGCAATCACAAGGATGATATGGACCGAGAGGCTACGATTAAGCTGACCATCAAGTCACTGCTGGAAGTCGTACAGACGGGAGCAAAGAACATCGAGATTGCTATCATGGCACCTGGTAAGCTACTCGAGATGTTGCCGGTGGAGGATATCGAGGCATATGTGAAGAACATTGAGGCCGAGAAGGTTGAGGAGGCTGCCAAGAAGAAGAACACCCGCACACCAGGCTCTGGAAATGCTGCGATATTGACGAGACGTGATTAGGAGAGCAAGTAGGCAGGTCAACCCTGAGTGTGCAATATTTGAGATCAGAGAGCCATTGTACAATAGAACGTGAGCGACCAAACCTGCAGAATCATGCCTGCATTCGTTCTTGCTTTCCCTGACTCCATAAGAATTTCAAATTATCCCATGCCTCGCCCCAAAAATCAAACACCATGCCGCTAATAAATCAAATCCAAACCCAACCTTCCCCCGCCTCCTCCATCGTTCTAGGAACCCCCATCTCCTCTCCTCCCAACCTTTTGCGCCTCAACCCAATTTATTGGGCGCCTCCTTCACATCAAAGATTGTGCGCAGCTCCTCCCCACGCATCCGCTCATCCTTCAACATCCGACTGTCGATCCTCACGTCCTCGCCTTCGACCTCCAGCCGCGCCTTTGGCGTCACGGCGTCGAGGACAAAGTGATTGTCGCAGTGCGGGCAGTACTCGTCGGACTCTTCGAACTCTTGGGCGTCTTTCCGGAAGGCCTTTTTGCATTTTTTGCAAGCGAATGTCTGGAGGTGGGGTGTTAGTCGGGGTGAGAGAGGACAAAGGAAGGAAGGGCATGGAAGGGGAAGGGGAAGGAAGAGGAGAGAGGAGAGAGGAGAGAGGAGAGAGGAGAGAGGAGAGAAGGAAGTACCATTTCTGTCTTTTGTAGAAGAGGGTGGGATTCATTCTCTGCGTGGCATTCGGCACAGTCGAACCATTTCCGACCTGTAGAGGCGTTAGAATCTGGAGGTTTGGCAGGGAATATAGGACTTAACTTACAACAGGGTGATCTGATAGAAACTTGGGCGTTGAGGATGTGTTTACTGCGGCAGACATCAGACTTGGCCTCTCAAAAACGTCCGTACATCTTACCACATGATGATTGCGATTTGTTCAAGTACTTATTAATTGCAAATAATTTTCCGAGTTTGGTCGTGCGAATACAGATATTGACTTCCCTCTGGATCCAAGATGTTACTGTTGGTGATTGCGCCGGGTGAACCTCGGCATATCTTCTTCTACTTAAGTGGCTCCAAATATCAGCCTTGCATTTTGCGTAGGTAGTCCCGTATATCAGCTTCAGCTTCGCCTCCTTCGATATCTTTGTCCAAACATCCCATCTCCTTTACAACCACGGCACCGCATTATCAGCTGGCTGATTGCAGCAGAACCTCACGATGCCTGTGAAGAGAAAGGCTCCATCGAGTATGAGCGCTCTCATCTGCTACTCACCTCTAACAGTCCTCTACTAATATTTCCAGGTGCCAGCGGCAGCAAAAAAGCCGGCAAAGACACCGAAGCCTCGACGCCTGGTCCCGCCACCCCGCGCAGCATCAGCGGTAGCGACGAAGATTACGAGTCTGAAGTGACGGAGGAGGAATCAGAGACGGTCAAGAAGGCGAAGGCGAACCTCAGCGTCAGCAAATACCAGCAGAAGAGGGGAAGTTCGTTCCTTAGGGGGCGAGACTCCGCGTCTCACCACTTCGAGGGCGGGAATCATGATTTTTCATACCTGTCGCTGAAGCCGGATCATCATAATCGCCCGCTGTGGATCGACCCGTTGAAGGGGAAGATCATCATGGAGAGTTTCTCGCCGTTGGCGACAGAGGCGCAGGATTTCTTGACGACGGTTGCGGAGCCCCAGTCCAGGCCGCAGTTTCTGCACGAGTATTCTTTGACGCCGCATAGTCTTTATGCTGCGGTGTCGGTTGGCCTGGACCCGAAGGATATCATCAGTGTGCTGGACAAGCTGTCGAAGGTGCCTATACCGGGCAGTATCCGCGAGTTCATTACAGGATGTACCCACAGCTACGGCAAGGTCAAGCTGGTTCTGAAGAATACCAAGCATTTTGTGGAGAGTTCCGACCCGGAGATGTTGCAGCGGCTGCTAAAGGATGCGGTGATTGGGCCATTGAGGGTGCATGGCACGGAGGACATCACCACGACTTCTGCTCCTAAGATGGGTGCCTTGGTCATTCCTGGTACGAAGAACGCGGCTGGTGTACAGCAAGCCGGAGATCAGCCTGGAAAATCTCAGCAGCCCAAGGATGGCGAGAATGCAAACCAGGAAGACATATATGCCAAATTGAACGAGGATGATGATGACGAAGACGAAGCCGATGCTGTGCATGCCTTTGAAATCGCTGATGAAGGTGTGGAAACGATTCAGAAGCGCTGTCTAGAGTTGGGATTGCCCGTCTTGGAGGAGTACGACTTCCGCAACGACGATGCGAATGCCAATCTCGATATTGACTTGAGGCCTATTGCTCAGATCAGACATTATCAAGAAAAGAGCTTGAGTAAAATGTTTGGTAACGGTAGAGCCAAGAGTGGTCTTATCGTTCTACCCTGCGGTGCTGGCAAGACTTTGGTTGGGATTACCGCTGCTTGCACAATCAAAAAGGGTGTTATCATTCTTTGCACCAGTTCGATGTCCGTGGTTCAGTGGAGGCAGGAATTCCTGAAATGGTGCAATATTAACCCCAATGATATTGCCGTCTTTACGTCCGACAACAAGGATAGGTTCACTGGAAATACTGGTATCATTGTTACGACATACAACATGGTTGCTCAGCAGGGCAAGCGATCGTACGATTCCCAAAAGATGATGGACTTTCTCACAAGCAGAGAATGGGGTCTGATGATTCTCGATGAGGTCCACGTCGCGCCGGCTCACATGTTCAGACGAGTGACATCCATCATCAAGACGCACTCGAAGCTAGGTCTAACAGCCACTCTGCTTCGTGAGGACGACAAGATCAGCGATCTGAACTTTCTGATCGGACCCAAGCTCTACGAAGCTAATTGGATGGAGCTAGCAGAACAAGGTCACATCGCCCGAGTTCAATGCGCCGAAGTCTGGTGTCCCATGACTACAGAATTCTACACTGAATACCTCAATCAATCCAGCCGTAATAAATCTCTCATCTGGATCATGAACCCGCGGAAATTCCAAGCCTGCCAATACCTCATTAACTATCACGAGAAGCGTGGCGATAAAATCATCGTCTTCTCTGATAACGTCTACGCCCTGAAGATGTACGCGCAAAAGCTCAACAAAGTTTTCATCTACGGCGAAACCGGCAATACCGAGCGTCTGCGTATCCTGGAGAATTTCCAGCACAACAGCAACATCAATACTCTCTTCCTATCCAAGATCGGCGACACGTCGCTTGATCTCCCTGAGGCTACATGCCTCATCCAAATCTCTTCGCATTTTGGCTCTCGACGTCAAGAGGCTCAACGACTGGGTCGAATTTTGAGAGCGAAGCGTAGGAATGACGAAGGCTTTAATGCATTCTTCTACTCCCTCGTCTCCAAAGATACGCTCGAAATGGTCTACTCCTCCAAACGCCAGGCCTTTCTCGTCGACCAAGGCTATGCCTTCAAAGTCATCACTCACCTCCAAGGCATTGAGAACCTGCCCGACCTCGCCTTCACGACCCCCGCCGAGCGCCGGGAACTCCTCCAAAATGTCATGATCCATAATGAAGCCGGTGGTGATGATTACGAGGATGGGGACGATTTGTTCCATCGCGTCGATGGCGAGATGGGACGTAAGAAGAAGAAGAAGAAGGGAGCGAGAAGAACCGCCGGGAATTTGAGCGAGTTGGCGGGTGGAAGCGACATGGCATATGTGGAGATGAATCGCAGTCGGAACAAGGACTTGAAGAAGAAGAAAGGGGAGAGTAGTGCCTTTTTCAAAAAGATCCAACGGGAGCAGGTCAAGAGGAAGGCGGCGATGGATTCCTGAGGGGGGAGAGATTGGACGCGTTGGCTTTGGCGTTGGTATGGGTGTTGGGTGTTGATGGGATCGGCTAGACTTGGGTTTGGGCTTGGTATGGGAAATGGCGTTTGGGACGGGAATGGAGATGGGAGCCAGAACAGGAATTGAATGGGAATAGAAATGAAACGGAATTAGGGAATTCAAGATGCATCACAATCGATGATATCAGTGGTAGATGGATATATCGTGCCACGATTACAGAAAAGGGTATGGGGGGGGGGGGGGGGGGTTTCTTTAGTAAACAAGCGAGCTATTTGTTGTGAAGTTCAGGTTACCCGCCACCACCTGCTTTCCAAGAATTAGAGACTAACACCATATACCGATTTCTAGGATCTATCTATCTTCTGTAATTTTACTATTACTTCTACTTTTTCTACTTCTATCAATCTGGCCTCTCTCTGTTACCACTTTCTCGACCCAACCCAACCCATTCCAATCCAATCCAATCCAATCCAATCCAATCCAATCCAATCCAATCTAATATCCTATATCCTATACTTGAACTGCCCAATCCAATCCTCTAACCCCGTCTGTATGTATTATGTATTACTTAGCTCGGCTTAACTCCGTCGTCTCTCTCTCTCTCTCTCTCTCTCTCTCTCTCTTTCTCTTTTTTTTGGTGGACTTTGAAGCTCAACCTCTGCACACATATCATGTGTCCCTCCCGCCTTGCCTGCCTGCCTGCCTGCCTGCCTGCCTGCTTATTTCGATATAATCGTAGTCTTAAAGGATGTAAGGAGGCCCACCTAAGCGAGCCGACGATTACCTATAGATCGAGCCAAGCCATACCGCACCGCACCGCACCACGCCGAATTTACAGTAGGTACAACAAGAGCAGTCATGCCCCGCACCGGCGTAAATCGTAGAGCAATATCAATATTAACAGCAAGTCTCAAGACGCAAGACGCAAGACGCAATACGCAATACGCAATACGCAATACGCAATACGCAATACGCAATACGCAATGCTCAATACGCAAAATATACATAACATCACCGTCGTCGTCGTCGAAGCGTTCATCTCCGTCTTTCGCTCCAAGTTAGTAGACAAGGTACGAACCCAGCTGATCTACTAAACAAAAGCACGAAACGCTCCGTAGCTGACGACGACGACGACTTTGCTTGCCGAGAGAGAGAGAGAGAAAGAGCCGGATGTAGTTACGGTATTTGATAAGATGGGATAAAATAAGATAAATATGTAAGTAAGTAAGGGAGGGCCCTACTTCGAATGGCAGGTAGGATTGTCTGGTTAGGTATGTATGTATGTATGTATGTGTGTATGCAATAATTGATTGATTGATTGATTGATTGATTGATGCTCGGGAGGTTTGTATTACTTATTTACCTATTTCCCAGAGAGGGCACCTGAATTCCTCAACTTATTTTCTTCTATTCATGTATACATATAATATATAAATGATACAGGAATTTATGCCTGTGCGAGCCATGTAATACATATGAATGATGTGCCGTCTCTACCTTCAATGTACTTGCTCCAAATCCCTCTTTCTATCCGCTATTCTAACTCCACCTGTTTATTCTATTCCTTCTTGTCTATCTAAATCTTCGGCGCCTCTCCCAAAAACCCTTCAACAACCGCTTTCAAAAGCTGATTCGCAATCGCCGTCCGCGGCGGCAACCTCAATCCCCCCTCCACATAGCCTTCTTCAGCCGGCTCTCCTAAACCACTCGTGCCAATCTCGAGCGCACGTCTCACCTCCTCAAAACTCACCCACTTCGCATCATGCAACTCGGGATCATGCTCCAAATGGATCTTCTCCCCCTCCGGCAACGCCTGCGCGATGGCACCAATCATCAAATTCGCAGGGTACGGCCACGGCTGCGTGCTGTGAATCACGACCCGTCCAACCTGTACACCTGCTTCCTCCCACACTTCTCTGCGCACGGCTTCTTCAACGGACTCGGCAGGCTCGCAGAAGCCGGCGAGAGTCGAGTACAGGTGATCAGGCCATCGCTTTTGGCGCCCTAGGAGGATGCTTTTGGCATCATGTGATACGACAGCCATTATTACGGTGGGGTCGGTACGGGGAAATGAAAGGTTGGATACGCCTTTACGGGTTACACAGTCCTTGCGTGCCCGCGGTGTATCCAAGACCGTTGTTGCGCCTTGGGTATTAGGAAGCGAGGAGAGGTCCGTAGTCGGGCATACGCGTTTGGTCCCTGCGTGTACGGAGAGCGTAGGTTGGCCGCAGCCACCGCAGAATGGATTCCGGGTATTCCAGTCAATCATTGCACGGGCATGGGCGTATATGGCAGCTATAGACATCAGTATACCACTTATTTGAAGTTTAGGGTAGGGCTAAGTATACCCTCGGGAGCATTTAGAGTCATATGCATCCTCCCTTCGACAAACGTATTTCCCTTCTTCGTAACCTCCTCGATCACGCCCTTCGCCTCCTTCTCCACTGTTCCCCTGGGCGTAACATCAACCGCAAAGAACGGCCGCCCCTTGTATATCCCAAACTCAAACCCATCCCTCTTCTTCTCGTCCAATCCCAGGAACAGCACCAGCGGTAGCGTTATCGCGCTGTTATATCCCTTCAACATCTCTTCTTCTGTTTTCTCAAACGGATTCTCCCCGATAAGAGGCCGTACATCTTCATGTGTAACATAAGCGAGCTGCGTAGGGTCTTTTGCGAGAGGGGACAGGTCCTTAAGGAGTAGGAAAGAGGTGGAGGGGTGTGTGAGCGCCTTGGTGACGAACTCCTGGTTGGCGCGCAGGAAGGAGACGCGGTTTAAGGGGGAGCCGGAGAAGTAGTTTGCTACTTCGCGGCCGAATTTGCGGGAGAGCATAGAGTCAGCGTTGGGGTGGGCGGGATCGGGGAGAGAAGGCTGGGGAGGTATCAGTATTTGCTTCGCTCTTGAAGAGAGAGAGAGCTATTGGAGATAATGAAGCACTGACCTGAGGGGGCATTGCGTAGATATCATTCGGATCGCAGAAGATGATGATATGGTTGAAATATAACCTTGCAAGCTTTCGTTATAACAGTAATGATTGTTAAAGATCGCAGCAGAAATGTTTTACTTTTGGTGAGAGGAAGCAAAAGACAAGGAAAAGGGGATGACGTTGATAGGAAACGAACATACCTAAGCTTTGGCTATGCAATTATGGGGTGGAAGGAGGGGTTAAGATTACTCAGCAGCCTCTTATCGCCGAGTGGCTCGGCAGAGGATATAGCCACGTGACTTTTCCTCCACATCATTTCCTCCCAGAAGCTCGAAGCTCATAAGAAGAAGACCATTTTCCGTCCCCATACAGCGAATTTACTTCTGCTCATTATAGCTCGTTCGATAGCTTCTCTATTTGATCGATCAGAACCGTCCAAGACTGTTCATATTTTTGAAATCCTCGTCTACATCACAATTGAATTCATATTGAGGATGAACTCGTTTCCCTCCGGACCCAGATACAAAGATTTGGATTATGGATACTCCTTATTATAAATGGGTTATAGCTGGATCTTCCTGATTAGCTAGCTGCTCACTCAGAACCAAAATGGCTTTTACCCCGTAAGATATGGAATTAAGCGAGGTGATAGAAACAAACGGAAGGAACCTCAAAATAGGCATATATAAATAAAAAAAGGTACTCAAAGCAGTCTAACTATTCATTCGAAATAAACTTCCGTCCTTAAAAAGATAAGATATTCCATATAATTCAAAAACATAATAAA